AAACATATACTAATACAAATTTAAAAGTTTGGAAAGAAATGCTGGGCTGGGCATTTTTTAGAATTAGGATAGCTAAGAGTTTGAGACCAGCCTAAATTACATTGTGAGGCCCTGTCTCAAAACAAAACAAAATCCTAAAACTAGAATATAACTTTTTTTTTTTTTTAGTTCCAGGGATTCAACTCATGATCTCTCATGTTTGCCAGTCAGGTGCTTATGCCACTGAGCTAAATCCCATGTCCGTTCGTTCTTTCTTTCTTCCTTTCTTTTTGGATCTTGTGATGCTGAAGATTGAACTAATAGACTTGGTGTGCTACCCTGAGCTACATCTCTAGTCCCCAAATTTATTCACTTAATCTAGTAAAATAATTCCTTAAGAGATAGCTCACTATAGCTTGGGCAAGGTAACAGTCATCATTAGCCAAAGTGAGAAGCTGACCGTGAGGTTTCTTTAGCTATTCTAGGCACAACATCTGCATAATGCTGAAAATACTGTTTCACTTTAAGTCCACTTAGTTATGATTGTGTCATCCTTTTCTCACATATTCAACACCCATATAAACACATTTTAGAGTTCTATGCTTTAGCAAGCTTTTCAAGATTACTAATATTCCTTCCTTTTTTTAAACCCATCTTACCTAACTCAGTAACTTTCCATCTATAAGAATTACTGAATCTGGCTTTCTACATTTAAAGGCACTGAAGTATTTTTTTTGTTGTTGTTTTTTGTCTTTTTCTTTTTTATTGGTACCGGGGATTGAACTCACGACTGCCTGCTTGCAAGGCAAGCCCTAAAGGCACTGAAAACTTGATTTTTTTTCTTCATGTGAAGCCTCAGATAACATTAAATAGTTTTCAGTACTTTTGTCATTTCACAGTGCTGTATTTTTGGGAGTTACTCATGGTGTAGGTGGTGAGTTAAGATTTCTGAGTTCTATCGGCCTATTTTTGTCATGTATTACTTAGACTCTTGAACAAGTGAAGGCACACCCTTGATATCATGATTCTTAGAGCATAAGAATCACAGGTGAGTTTAGAATTGTTAAATCCCTGGGCATTGCTGTTAGAAATTCTGGTTCAATAAGGTCAGGTTGGGTCCAGAAGCTGAATAACAGTGATTCGAATTTTTAAAAAACTGCCTCATGCCTCCTCCTCCTCCTCCATAGCATAGAAAGTTTTTGTTTCACAGTAAAGTGGGTAAAGGGTAGTTAATATTCTACAGTACGGCCTGGGGATTTAGCTCAGCAGCATAAGCACCCGCCTTGCAAACGGGATCGTGAGTTCGATCCCTGGTGCTGATAAAAAAAGAAAAAGACAAAAAAAAAAAAATATTCTACAGTACAAGTTTTAGAAATAACAGGCACTACAACTGACATGTGAGTTGTAATATTTACATGTATTTATAATATTTGGCCAGATTGAGAATGATTACTATAAATTTATCAGAAAAATGGATTCTAAAATTTTTACCTTGGGGGCCAGGGATTTAGCTCAGCAGCTCAAGCAGTTTCCTGGTAAGTGCAAGGTTGTGAATTCGATCCCCAGTACTAAATAAATGAATTATATATCTACCTTTGATCTCACAGTACCTTATGGGCAGTAGGCATATTCATACTATGTGCTTAGATCAACATGCATTGTTTATTGGCAGTATAATTGTACTAATATGGGAGATTGGAGGGGATTACTAACAGATATAAAAAATGTATGCATATGTATATGTTGCCTCCTAATTGACAGGTTTTGAAATTTTGTTATGGTTTTGTTTTCTTCTTTTTTCTTTTTATCCTTGAAGTAAAATGGATTAGAAAAAAGATACAGCAGTTTCTAAATGTAATTTGAAGACCCTTTGTATCAGTATAAATACCAAATATACTATACAACATATATTATAATAAATTTCCATATATCCTTCACTAGCTCTTCCAATGACCAAACTCATGCTCATCTTGTTTCATCTAAACCTTTATCCATCCAGATTTGGAGGCAACCCCGCCAGATGTTATATCATTTGATCTTTTAAATGTTTCATTAAATCTAAGTAATTCCAATCGTTTCCACATTTTCCCAGTAATCGCATAAAGTTTGTTTTTAAAATCCAATTCCTTCTTGCAACTTCTAAAGCATTTACTCTTCTGATTTTTATCACAGATTAGTTTTGTATATTCTAGAACTACATGTAAGTGGAATCATACTGTGTGTACTTGTTTTTGGTTTCTTTCACTGAGCAGTTTTGAGATTTATTCATGTTGCACATAATAATAATTGTTCCTTCTTTTGTACTGGGAATCAAACTCAGGATCTTGTTTGTACCAGGCAAGCGCTATGCTGCTAAACTATATCTCTGGTCCCAATCATTCCTTTTAGCTACTAAGTGGTAGTCCACTGCATGAATATACAGTTTACCTATTCTGTGTGTGTGTGTGTGTGTGTGTGTGTGTGTGTGTGTGTGTGTGGTAGAATTCAGGGGGCACTCTACCACTGAGATGCTCTTTCTTAAATTGCCCAAGCTGACCTCTAACTTGCAGTCTTCCTGCCTTGGCCTCTAGGGTAGCTGAGATTATAGGTATGTACTACCAAGCCAGCTGATGCTGGCTGATTTTTTTGTTTTTGTTTGTATCTTTTTGAGACAGAATCTCACTATGCAGTTCAGGCTGGCCTTAAGCTTACTTTATAACGCAGGCTGGTCTTAAATTTGCAATGATCCTCTTGCCTCAGCATCCTGAGTGCTGGAATTATAGAGGTATACACCATGCCTGGTGACTGTTTAATTTTTAAAGAAATGATCACAAAGTTTTCCAAGATAGTTTGTATCATTTTATAATTCCATTGTTATATGACAGTTCTGATTGCTTCACATACTTTCAAACATTTGGCATTACTATTAGCATTTTGACTTGGTAGTGGATGTGACAGGGTATCATTTTTTTTCTTTTCTTTTTTTTTTTGTTTTGGGGGGGGTGGGAACAGGGTTTCGCTATGCAGTTCAGGCTAGTCTTGGGCTCACTTTGTAGCCCAGGCTGGTCTCAAACTTGAAACCATTCACTTGCCTCAGCCTCCTGACTGCTGGAATTACAGGAGTGCGCCACCACACACTTTGTCTTTTTACTGATTTGTTTTTAAGTTTTTTTAAATTTTGGAATAATTTATTAATAATTTACTGTAAGGAAGTTGCATATATAATACAGAGGATTCCTGTCTGCCATTCATCCTGCTTCCTCAAGTGTTAACACATCATACTATAGTGTATACTTGTCAAAATTAAGAAATGGAAATTGAAGTTCAAGATCCTGTATTGAATTTAATCATGTTTTCTTAGATTTGTCCTGAGTATGACAGTTTTCTGAAGTTTTTTATTGTTATACATGACCTTGACAATTGTGTTTTGTGGAACAATCAGAAATTTGTCTGATGTTTCATTGTGATTAGATTTGTGTTATTTAGGAAGACCACAGAAGTGAAGTGCCTTCTCATAGTATTGTATTTGAGGTACATGTCAACATGACTTAACACTGAAGATATTAAAGATGCCCAAGCACAAGTAAGAGATGCATTGAGTAAACTACGGGAAGGGGCATTGCACCTCTGTGTCTTTTCTGGGTGTGTTATCCTCTAGGCAGTGTGTGTTGAGCAATGTGAAATTTTTTTTAAACTTTGAGTTTTTGAAACTGGGTTGTTAGCTAGATGTGTGGCAAATGTTTATAACTGCAGCATTCAGGCGATTGAGACAGGATCATGAATTCAAGGCCAGTCTGGATTACAGTTCAGTTTCAAGGTGGACCTGGGCTATATAGCAAGCCCCTGTTTCAAAAAACTACACCAAAACAAAAAAGTCTGGATTGTCCTATAGATGTTAGAATAGTCTGGATTTTAGTGACTAACCTATTTTTTCTGTCTTCTTTGTTTCCTATACAATGGTAATAATTGTCACTGCTACATCAGATTCATTCATCTGTGTCTATATCTTTTTTTCCATCATCTATATCCATTAATTCATCAGGGGTGACAAAATAGTGATATTTTAGTTTATGCACTAGAATACTTCATAAAGACCAGGTCATGGTAGCACATTACTGTAATCCTCAATACTGCTGTTGCAGCAGGAAGATCATAAGTTCAAGGCCAGCCTGGACAATTTGTTAAGACCCTGTCTCAAAAATACAAAAGACATGGTGATCTAGCTCAGCTCTAGAGCACTTGCCTTGCAAGTGAGAGGCTCTGGATTCAATCTGCAATACAGGCAGGAGACATTTCAACATTATTTGTGTCGTTACCCTGAACAAAGGCAGGATAAATGCTAATTATTTTGCTTTACTCATTAATTTTGAAAGTTGTTTTCCTAGCATTCTCCAAATATTTAAAATGTTAGATGTGTTTCATTTTTCTGCATTTATTATCCTATTGATGCTTTAAATATTCTGTTTTTGATTAGTAAGTCAGCTTCTGAATCATTTTGAAATGTCGTGTAGAGTCTTTGAGAGCTTTTCAGTGTGACAAAATGTTCATTCTGGTCTTGTTTATTTCTTAATCCAGACCTGACATCAGTTTTTATTTAAGCCCTTGTTTCTTTCGTGGGAAGTAGCATTTAAAGACTAGTTAGGTACAGTTCATACATCTGTAGTTACGGCTACTCAGGAGGTTGAGGCAGGAGGATCTTGAGTTCAGGGCAAGCCTGGGCAACTCAGCAAGATCCTGTCTCAAAAAATACCAAGAAGAAAAGAAAAATTATGTACTAGAAAAGCTACTTGGCTGGTTCTCATTTCTAGACTCCTTCAGAGAGTCATGTAAACAAGATTTTTTTTTGATTATGTAAGTCTATGTACTTCTGCATATGTTACATAGCAGTTATGGATTATAATAGTTATTGAAAAAGAGGACAACTAATAACAGTGTAATTTAGATATTTAAGAAAATGACAATCATTTAACTGTAGTACTACAGCGAGGATTCCTGGGTTCCACTTCTGTTTCTGTTCTTAGAAAAATCTTCTTTCTGCTTAGACCTCAGACTTTCCTGTTCTTGACCCCAGCTGGACTGCTCAAGAAGAAATGGCCCTTTTAGAAGCTGTGATGGACTGTGGCTTTGGGAATTGGTAAGAGTTTGGTGTTAAAAGTAGTCCTGCCTTGATGCTGGGGCTGTAATTCAGTGGTATAACACTTGCATAGAATACCTGATATCCTGGCTTCAATCAGCTGTGTAGATAAATAAATAAAAATTAAAAATAAAGAATGGTCCTGGGCTCAAGCAGCCAGTGTTAAAGGGTGGAACTTCAGAAAGACGAAGCTGTGCTGCTGTCCTGTTGACCCAGGGTTCAGAGACAGGTTCTCTTCCCCTTTGTGCATTATTTCCCAAGCCTGAAATGCTTCACAAGACTATGGGATTTCAGAGTTCCATAAATGAGCATTGTTCCCTAAATGAGGATTGTGGCAATAATCCTCCTATGTTAGCCTGAGTCTCCCTAGTGCTGAGAGTATGGGTATCTACCACCAAGCTGGACCCATATTTTAGAATAGTGGGAATTAGAACTTCAGGTTACACCAATATATATTTGTGTCATTGTTCTAATATCTCCATGACATCAGTTTGGAGGTAGCAGTTTATTGATATTATATGGGTCTAATTTAAAATATGAAAAGAACAAACTTTACTTTTAGTATTACGTATAAAGTAAAAGTACTACTTCCTTTCCCTCTTTTTCACACTTCCCTAGGCAAGATGTGGCCAATCAGATGTGCACCAAGACCAAGGAAGAGTGTGAAAAACACTACATGAAGCATTTCATCAATAACCCTCTGTTTGCTTCTACCCTGCTAAACCTGAAACAAGCAGAGGAGGCAAAGACTGCTGACACAGCCATTCCATTTCACTGTAAGTGCCTCCTTGTTTTGGGGAAAGATGCTTAGGTCATCCTGGAGCCCTGTATCAGTGGCAGATAAATAGTAATTTGATTGCCATTGGCATGGCAGCTGTGGGGAGTCAGGACCATAATGTGGCGAAGAGGGAACACATGAGTCAGAGTTGTATTCCAAACTGAGCATCTGAGTACTTTAAGCCAATCTCTACTTCTACCTACTATGAAGCCCTTGAATATGTCATTTTACTTTAATGCTTGCTTTTGTAAGAGAATGTGTCAGAAAGGGAGCAGCTTGTCCATGCTATGAGGATGAAAGCCTTTTTGCAGTTCCTTTGGAAGATTTGCGATTGTAGGTAGAAGCTGCTTAACAGGGCCTTGTATTTGACTCATTATTATTAATTGCCCTAGGACCAAGCCTAATGAGCAATGTGTAATTGTTATTCATTTGGTTTTGGCAATGAAGGCAAACCTTTTAATCTCGTGTGCCTGTGGGACCAGTTGGTCTTCTAATAAAATATAGCCAAAAACATGATGAATTATAAATGGATGTCTTTCCTAAATGACTCCAAGCGCAATACTGGAGATATGAATGTTTTTTTTTTTTCTCTGCTTTCCTCATACTTTCTAGTAACAGTTTTATAGCTAACTCAGAAGCTGGTGCCTTTTTTTTTTTTTTTTGAACAGCATTTAGGATATTCACACTTTCAACAGCAACTCAATGAAATAAACAGAATGGGTGCTTTCATTTTACACACAAGCAAACAGAGTCAAAAAAGTTAAATAATTCATGAAAGGTTATGGGACTACTGTTTTTTGGAGTTGGGACACTATTCCAGCTAACTTCCAAAAACAGTTTGCTTTCGTTTCTCAGTTGGATGATATTGTGTAAATTGAAGTTGGTTCTAAGAGGTAATGGAGCTAAAGTTGCCACTGTATTAAGTTCTATAATAAAAGAAAAAAATCTTGATCTCATTATGAGAAGAAATTTCACCACATTTTCTAAGTCTTAGTTTCCTTTTTGAAGAAATTAGTCTGTATCCATACTATTTTGCTTTTTCACTTTTCCCTTTTAAATTTATCTATTGTCACTTTTTCTCCAAAAATATCTCAGAATGTACAAAAGGACTATTTTTGTGTGACTTTTTCATGTCAGTATCTTATTAATTAACTAAGAAATACTCTTCAATTTTACCAGCTACAGATGACCCTCCCCGACCTACCTTTGACTCCTTGCTTTCTCGAGACATGGCAGGATACATGCCAGCTCGAGCAGATTTCATTGAGGTATGTAGGAAACACTTGTTTTTATCATAAGAGAGGAAAAACATTTTTGAAGCTTCTGCCTCATATCCATAGGTTCCATACCACCCATAGGAGATTTTTCACAGTATTATTATTTGTAGAATCTTTATGCAGACACATTTTTAAAAATTTGAATTCTTGTTTTGATTTGTAAGCATTTTTTATTTGTGGAACAGTGAAGCTTCTGCAGACCAAAAATTTATTTCTAAAGTTGCATGGGTGTTGGTTCCCACTTTGTAGGTGTGAAGTTTCTGCAGTTCTCATTCCATACCTTGAGATGTCAAGGTTCAACTGTATCACATCATGACAGACATGTCCCATTAAAGGGCAGATGGTAGTAATTATTTTAAGTTTTACAGATCATAAATTTCCATTCTAGTTAAAGTTTTTTTTAAATGATCTTTATTTTATTGGTACATTTTAGATATACATATGATTCATCATAGGGAATTTGTACCTGTACATGGTGTGTCTTGCTGCTGCTTTTTTCCCCTCCAACCTTTGCTATTCTTGCACAGAAACAGCATAGATGATACACAAACAAACTAGTATCTGAACAAGTTAGTACCTGCCTGTATTTTAATGAAACTTTTTGTATAGTAAACTAGATAGTACCAATTTTCTGACTCCTGACTAAAGTATATAAATCATTGTTGAATATATATAAATACTATATGTTTCTTATACAGCCAAGGAATTGAAAACCATATAAATGGTGTCACAATTATCTTGATTTATCATCTAGCCAATAACTGTCATGCTCCTGAGATAACTTGGAAGTTTAACCAGCTAATCAACATTTTTGTAGCCATACCTAAGTCACATCTTGTTCATGGCAGGTGATAGTGTACCACTACCCCACAGATAACCACCTCCACAAATTGCAGTCATTGTATAGACTATAAACAAATCTATTGGGGCCAGGGATTTAGCTCAGTGGCATAAGTGCCTGCCTGACAAGCTTGAGGTCACGATTTCAATCCCCAGTACCAAAAACCCAAGCAAACAAAAACCAGATCTGTCCATTGAACTAAATAAAAAATATTGTTGACTAAATGGATCCCTTAAAATGTAATAAAAGGTAAAGGGGCTGGGGATTTAACTCAGCGGCATAAGCACCTGCCTTGCAAGCAGGCAGTCGTGAGTTCAATCCCTGGTACCGGTAAAAAGGAAAAAGACAAAAAAAAAAAAAAAAAAAACTGTAATAAAAGGTAAATAACTTAATGCAGACAGTTTTCATACTTGCAGGCCTAAGGTTATATTACCTTGAGATTTTAACAACCTAAAGCTTTATTTCTCATTTAGTTTGTTTTTTTTTTTGGTACCGGGGGTTGAATTTACGATTGCACGCTTGCACTTATGTTGCTGAGCTAAATTCCCAGCACCTATTTATTTAGTTTTTTGAGACAGGGTTTCTCAGTGTAAATGCAGTTCGGGCTGGCCTTCAACTCACTATGTAGCCCAGGCTGACTTTGAACTCAGGGCAGTCCAGCTGCCTCAGCCTCCAGTGCAGGGATTATAGGTATGTGCCACCACAGCTGACAAACCTAAAAACTTTTTAAAGTAATAAATTTGTTTGCATTGCTAAATTGAGAACTACTCTAAATTTTTGAACCTCTCAGATCCTTTTCCATGATTTCCTGTTACTTGTAGCAGAATTCTGACTTTTTAAGCTCATTTAGTATTTTTTTTTTTAAACAAATGTTGGCATGTATGTTTTCTGTTTGTTTCTAAAGCTGGGCTACTATGAAGCAGCATTCAAAGCTGATGGGTTTGAGGTGGGGATTTTTTTTTTTCTCCCTAACAGGAATTTGACAATTATGCTGAATGGGACTTGAGAGACATTGATTTTGTTGAAGATGACTCGGACATTTTACATGGTAATATTTTATCATGTATTTATTGATTACGTGATGATACTGTGTGTTAGATACTGGGACTATAAAGACAAATAAAACATATTCCCTGCTTATAAGGAACTCAAAACCTTATAGTAAAGTTGTGGTACTTACCCTTTTGTCTGGTTTTGTTTTTTTTTTTGTTGTTGTTGTTTTTTGGTTTTTTTTTTCTTAACTCCATTGAAAACTGATGGTTTTGTTTTTTGTTTCTGTTTTTGTTTTTGGTCCCGGGGATTGAACTCATTGACCTCGAGTTTGCTAGGCAGTCTTTTGTCTGGTTTTGACTACACTAAGTAAGTTTTGTGATGATCATTGATCATATAACAGAAACTGGGAATGCCCCATCCCTTGGACAACGTGATCTTTTTTTGGTCTGAGATAATTGGTTAAATGCCATCACTCGCCTCTACAAGAAGGGGAAACAGTATGAAGACATTGAGATTTCAGTAGTAGCTTTTGCTTCTGAATGTTCACTATAATTTGTTACCATGGATTTTCAATAGCAATAGAACCTCTTCAGGGATTTTTAGACCAAAATTGGGAACTTCTTATTTCTTAGAAGTGTTGACATTTTAGCACTTTTGAATCCTAATCTCATATAGTTCTATAAGGGTTTATGTTAACTTTTGTTATAATTTAAGTGATGAATGCCACTTAAGTGGCATTAAGTGAGTCTCTTTTCTTCCTCCTCTCCATTTTCAGTGAACTTCATATAGTGCCATCTTTTTCTTTCATTTATCCAGAATTAATTATAATAGATCAGTCATATTCTGTACAATCTATGTTCCTCAAAAAGCATCATCATTATTGTTCTTAAACCTGTATCATAGGCAGGAAAAGCAAGTAGAATACTTGTTGGACAATTAATCAACCAGTTAACATGTTGTATTAATTGCTACTCTCACTAGAAGGGGAACTTGATTCCTTTCTCTGTAACATAGCTACCTGAGTATTTATTACCCCAGGCCTGGGACAGAGAAACAGTTCTTTTAAAAGTTTTACTGTGAGAATTTTTTATCTACACATTTTTTGAGCAGAATATTTTTTGCAAAATTTCATTCCTCTTTTCTCCCACACGACTTTAAGGAAAGTTGAAGTGACGCAGATAGAACTAAAAGAGGAAAGCTTGAAAACAAGCTACTTGAGCATTCACAAGATCCATTGTATTTGTTCAGTCTTGCATGTCAATCTCTTCAACTGCACTGACTCATGCTGTCTCCTCTCACCTCTTGTGCTTTTCCTTTTAAGGTAGTATATGGAGTGCCATTCAGTATTTCTCTACATACACACATGCTTTTAATAAAATGTTATTGTTTCCTAGCTTTTATCTTTCTTGCCAGAACATCAGGCTACTACTGTATGCAAGCAAGAAGGGCAGCTTTGTAAATATTATTCTTTTAGATACTGTTAAAAATCAAATTTTTAAATCAAACTTTTCAGAATCTGTTGTCACTAATGACTTAACTAGGTGAGGGACTTGCTGAATCACTTCTCTAGGATTTCATCCAATGTCTGAACATTAGTAAGAAAACTATAATAATAGTTGGTATTTAATTTTGCTCTTCATTCTTTGTAGAATGTAGATATGCAATTTCATATAGTGTGTTCTTTCTGTAATTCTGTCGACACAAAAGGAATACTCAGAAGCAATTGATAAGTAATTTTTAATTCAGTTAATTTTTCAAAACTGTAATCTACTTCCTGTAGTTTCTACAATGTTGTAAATTACTGATTCTCATTTAAACCAAAACTGAAAGGACCAAGGGTATAGCTCACCAGGCACAAGTGCCTGCCTGGCAAGCACAAGGTTGTAAGTTTGATTCCCAGTACCAAAAAGGAAAAAAAGAAAAAGAACTGAAGTATCAGTTATTAGTTCTTATTCATAATTTTAATACAACATAAATAATAATCTTTTCCCCCACCCCAACAGCAAACTGTAAAATGTTTAAATATCTTTTACATATTTTTTATTTTTATTTTTATTTACTTACTGTCTTTTTGAGACAGAGTCTCACTATGCAGTTCAGGCTGGCCTTGAACTTACTTTGTAGCCTAGGCTGATTTTAAGCTCATAATGATCCTTCTGCCTCAGCCTCCTGAGTGCTAGGATTATAGGCATGGGCCACTGTGCCTGGCTTTTATTTTTTAGTACTAAGACTTGAACTCATAGTGTCACACTTGCCAGGCAGGCACTGAGCCACTGAGCTACATCCCTGGCCCTGGATATCTTTTTTTTTTTTTTTTTGGTGCCAGCGGTCAAACTTACGACCTCACACTTGGCAGGCAGGCCTTTATGCCACTGAGCTAAATTACCAGCCCCCTCGATATCTTCTAAAAACAACATTTTAACCAGGTATGGTGGCACACGCTTGTAATCCTAGCACTTGGGAGGTTGAGGATTGCCTAGAATTCAAGGCCAGCCTTGGTTTCATAGTAAGTCCAGGCAAGCCTGAACTACATAGTGAGACACTGTCTTAAAAAAAAAAATTTGAAGCGATTTGGCAGCACTAGAGGTCAAAGGGATGCGATGTTACAGAGGCGGCTTTATTTGTGGCTCTGAGCTCTTGCTCCTTGGGCAGCATGACCCATGCTGTGACTTATTAGCAGTGTCTTCCAGAATACTCCATGAAGGGGACTGGGAGTCCAACAACACTCAAGGAAAGGAACTTTTAGGTATGCCTGGCTCAGAAAGAGGGCTACCAATTCAGTGGAACTCAAGGTACTGATTCAACTTCAGGCTTACTTCTGAGTCAGTGTGTAGTCTTTAGGCAAGTCCTCGAAATCTTGTTTGCCATTTCTTTGTGTCTTCTGCCAGTAAATAGGGATGATACTGATTAGTCAGAGCCTGAATGTCTGCAATGAAAGATGGTACACAATTGAGATTGGTGTTACTGCCATTCCTGTATGCCATTTACTCAGTATTACTGAACATTAGCATTCCTTTCACATTCCCTCACTTATAACTACTGGGAGGGAGTAAAGTGGTTGACTTTTACATTTAGAAGCCATCTAGAATATTAGATGATGCCATCCAGCCCTGTTCTTACCCAAAGACTTTTGCTTTGATTCTTCGTATTTGTCTAATAGAGTTGACTTATGTGGTTCATTACAGGGACATGGGATACAGAAAAAGGACAATTAATTGTATTCCAGCCATACAAGAAAGGTGTTAAAATGGGCCCAGAAAGGTTATTGCACGTGTAGCAGTGTCCAAGAAGGCTAAAAAAGGAACTTCTGGTGTCATTAGATGGCCTGGTTTTTTTTTACTTAACAGAAATTATTGCTTTGGAAATTGAGATGTAGAAGACTCCTAACTTGGAGCTTTCCTGTCTTCTGATATATTATGAGATCTCAGATGCTTAGTGTAATTTCCTTTTGCTGCCATCTGTTTTCCTGTCTCCTTTGATGTGTGAGATCTCCCTTAAATTTGTAGACTTTTTTTCACTTGAATATCTTAGGGTCCTAAAATTCTGTATGTACCTTCCTTTTAGTCAGTGTTGTTCTGTAACCTAGGCAAAAGATATATTAATGAATTCCTCCTATTTGCCAAGTCTGTATTTGTTACATTTTTTTTCTTGAGTCTGTATTTTCGTTACTTCTCAGAATTACACATTAACATTTACACTCCCTCTGTTTTTAAAATGCTAATTTCAGCAACGTTTCCTTGCCAGTTTTCAAACTGTTTTTCTTTGGCCTGTATACCCAGCCTTTAGACCCTTGCAGTTAGTAGATCAGATGTCCGGTTTAGTCTCTTCATATTCAGCACTTGGTAGTGCTTTTCCTTTTGTAGTGAATTCCGGTTTAGTCTCTTCATATTCAGCACTTGGTAGTGCTTTTCCTTTTGTAGTGAATTAGTTGTTTTATGTGTAAGATATTTTAGGCTTAAATATGATCAGTAATAACTAATTCACATAGCTTTTACTGTTTTAAGCCCTTTATTTATGTATGATCCTTCAATCATTACAAACCCTCAAAGTTGAGTGTTGTTACTCCCATTCTACAGATGAGGAAACTGAAGCATAGAGAGATCAAGTAAGTTGACTGAAACTAGATAGCTGGCAAGTACAGATCCATTCCCAGATTTTCTCTATTCTTAATTCTGTGTAATACTCACTGTCTTTGTCTTTCCATCCTTGAATTTTTGATGTTTCTTCTCTTTCTTTCTTTCTTTCTTTTTTTTTTTTTTTTTTTTTTTTTTGAGGGTGAGGGGACAAGATTTCTCATTTGTTATCTTTGGTCAGTCACTTCACCACATTCTTGTTTTTGTTTTGTTTTCCTTTGGTACTGGAAATTGAACTCATGACCTCATGCTTGCCAGGCAGGCACTGTGCTGCTGAGCTATATCCCCATATTTTTTATTTTTTTGGTACTGGGGATTGAACTCATAACCGTATGCTTGTCAGGCAGGTGCTTATGCCACAGTGCTAAGTCCCTGGCTCCATTTTCCATTTAGGGAAATATGCAAAGAAGTTAACTAATTTGCTTAAGATTTCCTAATTGCTGACTTTGACCATTGGGCGACATAATCTTCCCTTCTCAGAATTTTTTGTGTGCATCTTGGCCAAAAGCTTAGGTTGGGAATGACTTTAAAAGCTTGCTTCTGGGGAATACCTGACCACAGGTTTGTGCTTGTGTAGTTGCAGAAGGATTTTGATTTTGATTGGCCTCTCTGCAGTTAAGGCCTCTGAGTTGATTTTCTTGCCAAGCAAGCAATAAGTGCCTTCTGTCAAGAAAACAGAAACATGTTGCCGGCTATTTTGAACAATGTTAGAAATACATTGCAGTGGGAAGGAGCTGCCTCTGTCTTCTGCCCACTTCTTGAAATATTTTAAGGCCAGCCGTTTGGAAACTTTTATCAGTGCCCACTATAATCTCACAGAGGCTGTTCTTCCCTCCCAAAGCTGAGAATTCAGAGGCTTTGTATAAGTGGATGGGTTAGAGCTAGTTTTGGTTTGTTCATGTTTAATGATCTCTGGTTCTGTGTTTGGCAACTTGTACTGGAGCTTCCAGTTGCTTTAGTAGACTGAACTGTTCTTGGATTGTCTGCCTTCTCCTTTCTGTTCTGCCTGCTGTGCTGTGGTCTCTCCTGGTTTATTCATGTAGTTAAGATCTTGTACGGATTTGCTGCTATCCGAGTGTGCGTTATAAAGAAAAGATGATACAGTAGTTTCAAATGTGCATTTTCACTGGAATAGTTCCACGTCTTTTGTGTCTGTGTGTTTCTTTTGTTCCCTGGAGTCAGTCATACACATTTAAACCACTGAAATGATCAAGCAATAGAACCAATTATCAGCAGTATGTATTTATAAAAGTTTTTGATAATATGATCTGTTAATTATATTTTTAAATAAGTCATTCCCACATAAATCTCAGGAAACAATGTGATAAAGTTAGTATGTTACAAAAATTACACACATCTTTTATTAAAGTTAGTAGTTATTTGCACTAAATCTTCAAAACTTTTTTTTAATAATACTGGGCAGTGAATGTAGGCTAGGCAAGGGATGTACCACAGAACTGTTTCCCCAGCCCAACATATTTGTATTGGATTTATTGGCTAGATAAATGAAACAAATTACATCAAAAGCCCAAAATATGAGACGTTCTCCAAGTATTTAAACTATTGTTATTATATTTATTTCCCTTTCTGCACCGAATTGTTGACTTCCCAATTCTTTTTTTCTCAGAAGTATTAAAATCCACCATAAAGACGGGATATAGCTCAAAGGCACAGTGCTTGCCTGGCAAGTGTGAGGTTGTGAGTTTGAGCCCCCATACCAAAAAAAAAAGAAAGAAAAAAAATTCACCATAAAATTTGTATTTGGTTGTACTGTGTATCAGAGATGCTTTCCTTCCTGCCTCTTCCTATTTACCTCTTCTACTATATAGGTGTGTAAAGTGTTTCACACCAATATGACTTAACTAGTCTACAGCTGTTTTATAAACAGATAGAGTAGGGGGTATTCTGTGGTAGCAAGACTTTTATGGAATAGCCCCATGATTTTATTTATAGAAAGAAAGTTAGCCAATTAAAACTGATTTTGAAGAGGATAGAAATGTATCTGAGCTGTAGAGTGCTTACCTAGCATATGTAAGGACCAGCATTCAATCCATAGCACAGCGCCCCGCTCTTCCTAAATAGTTTAAGAACTAGACTGAACAAGAAAAAAAAATTGAAAACCATTGCCTTTAATCTTTAAAGCATCTGATCTGACAACATTGAATTATTTTTCATTTGTTGTCAGTTATGAGGAAAAATGAATCTGTGTTGAATCCTTGAACTTACTAGGCGCAAACAGAACCCATGGTAGTGAAATTTTTAAATACTTAAACTTTATAAAATATTTCATTCATTTACCTCCAAATTATCCAGCCAAGATTTAGGTTATTTGTTTATTTTTATTCAGAGACACCAGGAAAATAGCCTGGATAAAGTATTTTTGAACATCTCTCAGTGATTGAAGTTACATTTATCTATAGCATATCCTCTCATGGCCCCGGATGTCAGACTTTTGTATTGAACCTTTTAATCTAAGAATAACCTAAGGGCAAGTAGCAGTAAGATACACACTAAGGAGTCAGTATAGAGTGTACAGAATTTCTTCATATATAATTTTTCCAGGACTATTAAAGTGACCATTTAGGATCATACATTGCTCAACAACTTGCTTTTATATAATAAACAGATGATTCCTTCTGTGTGTGGAGGGGTGGGTCCCAAGTATCGTGGAACCCATACAGTCTTAGCCTTTTTTTATTTTGAGACAAGGTGGCAAGGCATGCTGTTATGCAGCCTAGAGCCTCTTTCTTTTATGAGCACATTCAGTAATGAAAACAAAGGAAAAACTCCAAACTGTCAGTTTACACAAAGCTTACAAAGACAAGAAGTCATTAATGAAGTTCCCTTATTTTCTGAAATCATTAAATCTTAAGCGACTTTCAGAATCTATAGGTGAAATGAATGGTTTAATGTAGCATGGTGTTAGTTTCTTCAAGAGGGAAAAGTCTAATGATTGTAAAGAGCCTATGGAAGTTTTTGCTTCTCATTTTTTTTCTCCCCTCAATATATACTTCATTTCATTTAGGCCAGATTTAGGAGATAGGACTAACACAGAGAAAGTAAACCCACTAACAGGAGTGAGTGTGTTGGATAGTTTCAGTGTTTTTTGTAATCACTGCTCTGGAATCAAGCTGCCTAGATGCACAATCTGTATCTAGAGGTTATGTGATCTTGAACTGATTGTTCTGTGTGCACAGTGTAGGGTCTATGAATGAGTGGTATGAAACAAGACGGAAAAGTAGGATGTATAAAGACACTAAAAGGCTTTATATAATGTGTAAAAGTTTGAACTCTTTAAAAAGTTGGAAAGCCACTAAAGAATTAAAAGTAGAGGAATTGCCATAACATTGTGTTATAAAATAGCACTTTGGTACCATGTGGTAGAGTTGAGTTGGATAGAGGGCTTACCTAGCATGCAAGAGACCCTAGGTTCTGTTCACAGTACTACAAAAACCAAACAAACAACATTTTTTATGACCACTCTAATAAATGTAATTTCTAGCATATTCGTCTATTACTAAATTTCTGATATTCACTGTATGTATTAGTATATATAATATATGTCCCAAAGAGGTGTTTAGTAGAAAGATAGTATTGTAATCTACAAAGTAATGCCATATAATAAATACATCAGGAAAAACAACTTCATTGTAGTTTACTAAGAGGAAGTCAGTATGCTAGGATATTTTTATGCTTTTCGTAGACATGTTTCCTACATTAGTGTGGAATAAGCTTCAGAGTTTGGGTAAAAGATATTTTTGTCTTGGCTTTATTTATATTATTTTTATATCTTTATTATTTATCCATATGTATTTATAGCTCTGAAGATGGCTGTGGTAGATATCTATCATTCCAGGCTAAAGGAGAGACAAAGACGAAAAAAGTAAGTAGAAAATTGTACTGGCTTTTATTTTTGGACCACTGATCACGTGTAGTGCTTAAGAACTCTCCACTTGTGGCTCCTCTTGTAACCTTACAAATGAAGGCTTTTTGAACCTCAGTTTTTCCACTCATCAACTAGGGATAAAAATTTGTTTTATTTTTACTTTTTTCTTTGTCCTTTGTTGATATTCTGGTGAATAATAAGCAATGTGAGTATGCTGTTTTAAGATCTTTGGGGAAAAGGAACAAGAACAATTAAAAGTAATATTTAATTTTTCTTTCTTTTTTTTGGTACTGGGGATCGAACTCAGGACTTTGCGCTTGCCAGGCAGGCACTTATGCTGCTGAGCTATATCCCTGGCATCATTAAATTTTTAATGCTGTCTCTCTCTCTTTTTTTTTTCCCCAGTAGCAGAGATAGAATCCAGGGTTTCCTCTAGATCCTTCTCCAGCCTTTTAAAATTTTTGCAAGAGAGTTTTGCTAAATTGCAAAGGTGCCTAGGCTGTGCTTAAACATATAACCTCTCTGCATGAGCCTCCTAGAGCGCTGGGATTATAGGTGTGGTCTACCGTGCTTGGTTTTTTGTTTCTTTTTTTTTGGTACTGGGGATCAAACTCATGACCTTGCATTTGCCAGGCAAGCATTTATGCCACTGAGCTAAATCCTGACCCTGTATGCCTAGCTTCTTATTCCTTTTAACTGTTCATTTTTTATGACAAATCTTTTGTCTGAAAAGAGATTGTATCTTTTTGTTTTTGTTTTCGTGTTTTGTTTTGGTTTTTTGAGACACAGTCTCACTTTGTAGGTCAAGCTGATCTTGAATTCACTGTGTAGCCCAGGCTGGCCTTGAACTCCTGCCTGAGATTACAGGTGTGTGCTACTACACCTGGCAAGAGATCTGAAAAGGTTTGGAGATGTAGCTCAGTGACAGGTCTTGGCTGGCAGGAGACCCTAAATTTAATCCCATACTCTGAAAAACAAAACTACACGCCCATGTGTTCAAATTAGAAAATGGGTACTTAGACTCCTGTTGGATTACCAAGTTTAACAGTTGAGATTGGGGTATGAAGGGTACCAGTGGGCAGGGTATGTGGCTGTGTAGCCTGTATATTAATCGTATTACTAAGTATAAATGCAAAGGTAGCAGTCAGAACAGGGAGTAGAGAGGCACTCTTAAGGAACCACAGTATGAGCTAAAGTGAAGCTTACCCTCCATGTCTGGAGTGAGCATCCATGATTGCTAATGAAGTTTATCCCACTGTACCCATGAGAAGCTTTATTGCTTGTCATGAATACTTGCAGAATGACTAAGGTTCCAAGCACAACCCTGTATGGTTTCCTTAAAACACATAATTAGAGCTAGAGAGTACTGTAGAATTCAGTTGTTAAGAATCGGTGTTATGCTGGCATGGTGACACACATCTATAATCCTAGCACTCAGGAGGCTGAGGCAGGAGGATCACTGGAATTTCGAGACCAGCCTAGGCTATAAAATGAGCTCAAGGCCAGCCTAAACTGCATAGCAAGACCTTGTCTCAAAAAGACCAAAAGTAAAAAAAAAAGTGGTGTTAGATCTTTTTTTTTTTTTTTTTTTTTTTGGTGCCAGGGATCAAACTCTCGACCTCATGCTTGCCAGGCAGGCACTTACACTGCTGAGCTAAATCCCTGTCCCCAGATCTTATGTTTTATGGTGCTCTTCCATTAAACATGTATAATATATATTTCAAATAGCTTCAGGGTGTTGTCTGAATGCACAATTGTAAGTATTGAATGTGCAATCATGGTGCCCTTTTATGGTTTTTCTTAGATGTCTATTGATTATTTTCACAAGCTGACAATATATAACATAGACCTAGATTCCCTTCTGTTTCATCATAAGTGATAAATACATGTTTTCAGTATTTGTGATTGGTAATTGATTATTGAGAATCTACTGTGCCCCAGGAGCGAGGAAAATGTGTGATGCTTAAGATTCTAACATTGCAGAAGTTTGTAAGGGGTGACTTAATTGGACCTTAGTATCTGATAAAAGATACATATAGCAAACCTTAAGTTTACAACTTATTCTAACACATATTTTTGTGGTTTTCATTTTAGAATTATAAGAGATCATGGATTAATCAACCTTAGAAAATTTCAATGTAAGTGTTAGTTGGTTTTTTAATTTCACAATTTGTTTCAGTATTATTAAATAATTTTAAATCATTTATGCCAGTGGTTCTTAACCCAAATTGTGTGGTAGCATCATTTAGGGAGATTTAAAAATTCTGATGCAGGAATAAGAATGTAGCTCAGTGGTAGAATACATGGTTAGCATATATAGTGACACTCTGGATTCAGTCACCAGCACCAAAAACCAAAACCAAAACCAAGTCTCTAAGGCAATCCATAGTGGTAGAAAGAACTGCTAATTTATACTCAGTAACATTTGCACAAGGCATGGGGTAGCTTACCTGTAATCCTGGGACAATGGTACTGAGGCAGGAAGATCATCTGTTCAGGGCCAGTCTGCCTGGACTGCATGTAGAGACCTTGTCTTAAAAACAAAAACAATGAGCCAGATACTAGGGCACAGGCCTGTCAGTCTATCATTTGTGAGTAGAATTACCACAAAGTTGAAGTTGACCTGGACAACATAGTAAAACTCTATCTCAAAAAAAATCTTATTTTTTTAATTAGTGTAGTAATCACAGCACTAATGGATCATTTACTAGATGACATCATGTTTTGAAACTGTGTATTAAATGTAACCTTGATCTTCAGGTTATTTTTGTTTTGTTTTATTGTGGTGCTGGGGATCAAAACAAGGCCCTCTAGTACTCTACAAAAGCACTCTGCTGCTGAGCTACATCTCCAGCCTGATCTTCAGGTTATGAAAACATTGTTATATAAAGATCAATACAAAGTAATGACATTATTTTCCTAGGTAGGAGGCAAACACAAAAGATATATAACATTGTATAATGGTGATAATAATTTAGAAATATGTTAATGAACATTTATTTATTTATTTATTTATTTTGACACAGGATCTCACTTGTAGTTCAGGTTGTCCTTGAACTCAATAGGTATCTCAGACTAGCCTCAAAACTATGGTGATCCTTCTGCCTCAGCCTATCAAGTGCTGGGATTATCCGCATACACCCCTATACCTGGCACTAAATATAATTTTTAAATGAATTACTAACTCTGATTTTACCATTTTAAATAAAGGAAATACCTACGTTAGGTAGAAAAAGCCCCTATACTTTTTCTTTTTTACAATGTAGAGTGTAATCATCAAATAAGAATTAACAATTTTATAATTGCAATATTCAAATGAACTGTTCATAGTAATTGTCATACTCTTGTTTTGTAAAACCTTAATGATTATCTCAGAATGTATCTTAATTGATTGATGTTTAAGAGTATCTCTGACGTGGAACGCACTGCTGCGTTCAGGTCAGATAGTGAAATGAGTTAAGTGTCTTTGAAATCTATGAATGCTTACATATAGTTTTTTTAAAATATAGTTAGGATTCTTGAGTATGTTATATTTTATGCCCTTCGTTATTTTGTACATATTTTAAGTTATTGAGCTGTTTTAAGGATGTTACTTTTAATAGTTATATAACACATATAGTTACATAAATTGAGTTTAACCATTTTGATTTTTAAATGTTTGACTTGTTTTCAGTTTTAAAAAATTATATAAATAGTGATGAGCTTGTTTGTGAATAAAGTGTTGTCTGTATGTAAGGGGTTTTTTAAGTTGTTTTTTGAAACTCATTATGTAGTTCAGGCTGGCTTTGAACTTTGTGTAGCCCAGGTTGGCCTGAAACTTGAATTGTCCCTCCTACATCAGCCTTCCAAGTGTTGAGATTACAGGCATGCATCACCACTGTCAGCTATATGTAGGATTTTTATTTTTAAATTGAGCCCTAGAAGTGGAATTAACAGGTCAAAGAGTATGATCATTAAAAATTCTTGATGCGCCTTGTAGTGACACCTGTCTGTAATCCCAGCATTCTGGGTGACTGAGGCAGGAAGATCTCAAATTCTCTGTCTCCAAAAATAAAAAAGGGGCCAGGGAAAAAGCTCAGTGTGAAGGCACTGAGTTCAGTCCCCAATACTGCTAACCAAAACCAAACCAAACATGATGCATGTTGCCAATTCGCTTTCCAAAAGATGGCCATATCATTTTATGGGCCTTCAATATGCCAATTTAACTGTCTTCATCAGGACTTCTGGGTTTACAAAAATAATCCAGAATCAAATTTCTCAAACTCTTTCTGTAGAAAGTAATTGGCTGCATTCTGATAGACTTACTGATGGATTCCTTTATTTGAATTCCTTGGCTTTCCATAATAGATCAGTTAGGTTTTGACTTTTATTTACCAAAAACAAGGAACTCTTGCATAAATTGTATATTAACTGGTAGTCAGGTAGGTTTGACCTTGTTATTGTTAGCTGTTAGTACGATTTCAGAGGTTCACACTTGTCATTAGATTGAATGTAAGAGTGATGTCATGTGTCTTCACAATATTGTATGCAGGGTTTTGGAGTTTTTTGGGGGGTCACTTTTTAAAATTTTACTCCAAATTATTCTGTGTTGTCTCTGTTACAGTTTTTTTGTATGCTGTTGCTGTTGTTCTGTTTTTTTTTTTTTTTTCTGGTGAAAATTATCAATCTGTCTGTGGCTGCTTATCACTTACCAACTCAGCTCCTGGAATTTGTACGTAGGAAAGAGATTCATCCAAAAAACAGGACTTAATTTAAATAACTGTCACAAGTGAAAATCTGAATTTTTACTCCCAGAGTAGATAAAACTTGAAGTGTTTCAAGAGCTCCTGACTCTTCAAATACAAAGTGCAGGAAAAAAAAAAAAAATAAGAGCTCCTGACTCCATAAACCTACCAGTTATTGTCAGGCAGTTTTACTCTCCGTTTGTTAAAGATAGCTCTTTTGAGTAGAAGTTTGGTCAATAGTGATCCCTAAAGTTGCTGGTCCTGTATATGTTACATGTGTGACCATTCATTTGCATAGAAATTGTCAAAATGTAATGTCAGAAGTAAATTAAGTTGTAGTTACTTAATTTGATTTGGAGAAAAGCAAAATGAGCCCTTTGGGCAGTGAAGAAATGTGTACCTCACCTGCCCAAGTCTAGGTAGGGAGATTTCAAGTGAGGCATATGAGAGATCATACGCTTTCTCCAGGCCAGTCTACCTCTTCTAGATGGAGTCTTCCTTTTTCCTTGTTTGTCCCTGGAAATTAATACTAGAAACTGTGGCCTACATTATTTCAAAGGATGTATGGTCTGCCTTTGTCTTCATTATTGCAGCAGTGCCTAACCGTGTATAGACTAAAAGACTTTGATAAGAAGAGGGAGGTCAGTAGTGGTGATGATGTCCAGGGATAATAACATCCCTGTGTCATAGTTGCTATGATGCTGTTGTTATGATTAGTGTTTTGCTTTCTTTGACTTCCTGTTTGCCTCGACATGGGTAAATTATCATGTGAGCTTAGGAATTATGAGCTTTCATTTCACTTGTAGGAAAAGAAAAAAATAGCAAACTTAGGGTTCCTTATATTTTTGATGATATGGTTGTGTTTTGCTTTCTCTATAGTAATGGAAAGGAGGTATCCCAAGGAAGTCCAAGACCTCTATGAAACAATGAGGCGATTTGCAAGGATTGTGGGGCCAGTGGAACATGACAAATTCATTGAAAGCCATGCACGTAGGTGTTTTTTGAACCTTGTTAATCACATGTATGTGTGTATAATTGGGGAAAACTGGTGGTGGTGGTGCAGGTCTGTAATTCTGGCACTCTGGTAGGTTGAGGCAGGAAGAATGTAGTTTTAAATCCAGCCTAGGCAACTATACAAGACCTTCTGTCAAAACAACAACAACAACAAAAATTTAAAAGGAGGACTTTCAGAGGGCCCGTGAAGGCCCCAGGCTCAATCTTCAATATCTCTAAGTGAATCAGCAAACAAACAAATAAATAAGGGATAATGATATGTATTATGTGAAATAAATAAGTGGATATTTCTGTCTTGATTTATTTTTGCAGTAATGGGGATTTATTATAGGGCCTTATTCATGCAAGGGAAGTGCTGTGACAGGGAACTACATCTCCAGTCCTTTTTATTTTTTTGAAACAAGATCTCAATAAGTTGCTCAGACTGGTCTTGAAATTACAATCCTCTTGTCTCAGCTTCCCAAGTCAATGGCCTTTTTTATTGCCATGAGATAAATGCAGGATTGAGAAAGTAGAAAAAAGAAGGTTAAAAAAAATGACTTTCCCCCAGATCAACAGTAGTTCAGTAATTTTTCTTCCAACTTTTTATTACAGGAGTTTTCCAATACATACAAACCTAGAGGTAAAACGGTGAACCCCCAAGCATATATCCATCACCAGCCTTAGTGGGTATCAGCATATTGCCTGTTTAGTTTCATCTTTACTCCCACTCTTCTGTGTTCTTATCCTTAAGGGAATTAGGAAGCAAACTTCAGACATCATGTAATTTTTTGGATGTCATACTATTTTATTCATAAATATTTTATTATTAACACTTGTTTTAGCAATGCAGATAGATGACTCACAGATGTAGTACTTCATTCTCTTGCCTTTGTAGTATTCCTGAGAAGTCATCTTATGTATATTTTGTTTTTTCTAAAAAAAAAAAAAGGTTTGAAGTCACTAAGCCAGATGTGGTGCTGCATGCCTCTTAATTCTAGAACTCTGGAAGGCTGAGGCAGAAAGATCAAAAGTTTAAACCTAGTCTGGGCAACTTAGTAATTTAGGGAGACCAGGGGGCTGGGGATTTAGCTCAGCGGCATAAGCGCCTGCCTTGAAAGCAGGCAGTCGTGAGTTTGATCCCCGGTACCGATAAAAAACGAAAAAGACAAAAAAAAAAATTTAGGGAGACCTGTCTCAAAATTAAGACTAAAAAGGGGCTAGGGACGTAGCTCAGTGTGAAAACCCTGGGTTCAATTCCCAGTACTTTTTAAATTTAAACCAGTAAGGCCCTAAGATCTAGACTTTAAAACAGTCAGGGCTAGCTTATTCTGTTAACTGTCTTATGAAATCTGTATATGTAGCTTCTCACTTTAGTTTTGGAGCAGTCCTTTACCAGGTGCTGAGCCTGTTGTCATCATGCAGATCTTTCTTACTAAACACCATAGGCATGTGTCTGAGCCAGGCTGATTGTCCTCAGCAAACATCTTGTTTGGTTGGCATTCTCTGTGTGGTTTGTACTGAGCGACTGATCCTTTACTTCCTGTCCCAGTTTGTGTCATTCCTGGTTTATGTGTCACTTCAAAGAACTGTGCCCCATGGGTTGTCTGGGCTTTTCCTTCGTCTTCTGTTTCAAAAGCACCCAAATTTGAATGTTCTATCACATAATAACCCAGGCAATGCAATCTGATCTATGCTTTCAGAGAAGGCAGAAATCTTTGGTTTATGGAAAGCACAATGCTCCTTTGTCCCTATAGGAAAAAAGCTGTAAAGAATCTAACTGGGGCTTGAGCACAGAACTTTTGTCCTTCTCTGGCATCAGAGCCACATCAAGTAATATCAGAGACAGGTTTCATAAAAGAATTTGGTCATGAGTGTGAGTAGAAATTTTAACAGACGGTAGGTAGAACAAAAAATCTGGATTATTTAAAAAGCTATGTTCCTTAATTTTGTGGACAAATGAATTCAGCCAGTTTACTCTTGAATTTTCTAGGAAGCTTTTCAGATGCTGCATCTGGAGACAGCAGCTGGAAAGCAGCTGTAGTAGGCTTTTTCTTGGGTAAAATTTCTAATAAGAGGTTACCAATAAAAAGTATTCCCCAGGTGAAATTGCCCAGTCTTTTATGTAAAACAGGATTACTAAAAAACCCTCAACAGTGAAAGCACTCACTGATACTGATTTTGTTTTTTCAATTTTTCTCCTCTGTTCTTTTTGAGAAAACAGTGGAATTTGAACTTCGAAGGGAAATTAAGAGACTTCAGGAATATAGGACAGCAGGCATCACCAATTTTTGTAGTAAGTATTGTTTAGCTACATACTGTATCAGGGGGTAGATATCATTGAAATACATGGAGGGAATCCTTGAGATGTTATGAATTTTTTCAGAGTGAGTTTTCAGTCTTTCCATTAAGATTTCATTTATTTATTCTCCTAAATACATCACAGATAATCTGAAGTAGAATAAAAGTCATGACACATGGAAGAGAAGAGGTACTGCTTTAGACTGAAGATTCCACTATGGCTTTTCTCTATAGATAGCTTAGGGTGTGGGGCTCTGTGGTAGAGAACTTGGCTAGCATGCTAGAGGCCCTGGTAAATATTAGTTATTTATTGAGAATGGAAATACGACTTTCTTTTAGTTTCATGGTATTTCTCCCTCACAAATTTCTTAGAAAAAGAGTAAAAATACATCATTTAGTGTCAAATTTTATTATTTATTCATTTTGGGACTTGAAGCCAAGGAGCTCTACCACTAAATTATATCTTCAGCCCTTTTTTCGGCTTTGTTTTATTTTGAAGACAAGACTCACTGTAGTTTTTAGTGGCTTTAAGTTCACTATGTAGCATAGATTGCCTTTGAATTTGTGGCAGTCTTCCTGCGTCAGCCTCCCAAATGCTGCGATTACAGGCATTTACCACAACACCCAGTTTGCTTGCTTGCTTGCTTTTTTTTCCTTTTTTTGACTTTTTGAGGCAGAGTTTCACTATACATTTCAGGTTACTCAGCAATCTTCCTACCTCAGCCTCCAGAGTGCTGGGATTACAGGTATGCACCCCCATGCTTGGCAAAGAAACATTTTAGATTTAGGAAGATCTACTTGGTTCTTGAAAGAATAATTGTTTGTTTTTGCTTTTGAGACAGGGCCTCGCTATGTAATTTGAACTAGCCTTGAACTTGCTACATAGCCCAGGCTGGCTTCGAACTCTCAGTGATTGGGAGAATAATTGTGAAAGCAGCTTTATGGAGGAAACCAAAAAAAGACAAAAATGTTTGCTGGTCAGTCACTTCTGCTGCATTGTGACTATAATCATAGTATTTTCTATACCTCCAGGTGCCAGGACATATGATCACCTAAAGAAGACACGTGAGGAGGAACGCCTTAAACGCACCATGCTCTCGGAAGTTCTGCAGTATATCCAGGACAGCAGTGCATGCCAGCAATGGCTCCGCCGGCAAGCTGACATGTGAGCAGATAGCCCAGGGGGAAGGAGGCACCCTTCTAGGATGTGTTTTTGGACACTTTCGTGGGTTCCATAGATGGTAGAGCTAGAAGAATTCACAAAGATTTTAGCAGTCCATCTTGGAAGTAGGGCAGTATTCAGTTTTGAGAAATATAATTGACCTTTTTACAATCCTACTTTGATTTTATTTTTAAAAATTATTGTATTCCTGGCCGGGGATATAGCTCACTGGCATTAGCGCCTGTGTGATATGCACAGGGTCCTGAATTCAGTTCCCGCTACCAAAAAAAAATTATTCCCTCTAGCTGCCCACCCACATCTCTCCCCTTTCTTATCTACTGATATGATTTTCATTGAAAAATTTATATTCTTACCCATTCCCTATGAATTGCGGCAGTGATGTTCCACGTTAAGAGCTTTTAGCTGGATATGATGGTACATGCCTATAATTCCAGCACTCAGGAGGCTGAGGCAGGAAGATAACTGGGCTACATAGCCAACCTGGGCTACATAGTAAGTTCAAGACCAGCCTGAATTATGTAGGGAGACCCTGTATCAAACCCAAAAAAAGAGCTCTTAGCAAATTGCAGAGATTTTTTTCCAAAACCCCACGGGACAGATTTTATTTCTTGGTTAGTACAGTGAAGTATCCTATAAAACATTATCCAGTCTATCTCATTACACCTCTTAAAAGTGATCTTCCTAGTAAATGGTACCTAGTCCAACAGGGGCGTTTGGAAGCTCTCTTCTTTGATGATCTAGGATTAAATTCCTCTTATTCATTGCAGTGATTCTGGACTGAGTCCTTCCATTCCAATGGCTTCAAATTCAGGTAACTGTTTCTCAAGCTAGAGCAAGTCTTTTGTTGTTAGTGTTTTGCTTTTTGGTAATGATGGGGATTGGAGCTTGACCTTGCACATGCGAGTCGTGATTGTGAAGTCTGCATTGGAGAGGTTACAAGAAAGTGCTCTAAACTATATAACTGCATCTATATTTAAGTGTATAAGATAGAAAATGATATCACTGAGTTTTATTGGATCATTGAACAGAACTGTTTGCAGTATCATTGTTGGAATGTCCACTCTACAAGCTTTAATTTTGTGACTTGAACAATTATTTCTAAGATGACAATATGTAATCCATTAACTAGTGATTTCCTACTGTTTATTTTTTTTCTGTAAACCTGTATAACTTGTACCCTTTCTCTGCTTTTTTTTCTCCTTAAATAAAATTAAAAAAAAAAAAAAGAGAGGTTACAGTGGCCTGACAGTCCTACCCTCTGTTGGGTTAGGGTGCTTAGGCAGAGTAACAGAGTAATAGTAATCAAGTGTTAGCCTAATTTATAAACATTAGCACAATTTCAGAATCTTCATAGCCAGATAGGGATGATTATATGTCCCTGAGATTACAGCAAAGGGAAAAAAGATCCTTAAAATGTAGCTGCTTTGTTTTACCAGTGTTCATGGTCAGTCATTGTTGGTTAATTTAGTGGGGTTGTATTTACCACAAATTTGTTTTGTTTTGTTTTTTTTGTCTTTTTCATTTTTATCGGTACCGGGGATCAAACTCACAACTGCCTGCTTGCAAGGCAGGTGCTTATGCTGCTGAGCTAAATCCCCAGCCCCATTTACCACAAATTTTTTTTTTTTTTGTCTTTTTCATTTTTATCGATACCAGGGATCGAACTCACGACCACCTGCTAGCAAGGCTGGTGCTTATGCCGCTGAGCTAAATCCCCAGCCCCATTTACCACAAATTTTAACATGTGTCTGGCAGGAGATAAGTGAAAATCTTTGTATCTGTTGTGAGTGATAAAACATACTACTTCGCCAGAAATGTAAGGATTTCTAACAAATTTGAGACTAAGGTATTTGTGTATTTATGCTTTTAATTCTTTGGGTATGTCTCGTTTTGAGATCAGTTTTCAGAGCAAGATTAAGCCATATGCTACCTGATGATCCATGATGACTGGTCATTAGTAACTAGGAATTTGAGTAAGTATAGTTACAAAGCTATACTTTGTTAGTATAACAATCCAAGATTGTTAGTCTGTTGTTTTGGTTCGCCTTCCCCCTACTCCATGAGGTGGCCGTTTCCCCTAATGAGACTATACAGACCACTCACTCCACTGCTGGGGAACAGAGTAGTCAAAAGTCATCTATTTGTCATTATTATTCTTCAGAGGCTTGAAACAACAGACCTTGTAAAATCTCTCAGTATATCTTTGAGGGATAATTTCTTTTTCCTTTTTCATTTCAAATAATTATTTCTTAATACCTATGGGAGAAAAGGCAGCCATTTAGTGATTTTCCCAGACAGTGAAATCCAGGTTTTATTTTACGGTTTTCTAACTTGTAATCCCTCTTCCCTGTTCTAAATAAGGAAATTCAAATAATTTAATACTGGTGAATTAGAGTGAACTAGCTAACCTGATTGTGCACTGGTAGTGTTTGTAGTTTCTTAGCCATCTGTACTCTTACTGTTCTTCCTAGGCTAGTGTCAGCCTTCCTGACTCCTTAGATTTAGGTTAAGGTGGCCCCTTGCTCTCCTTGGTTATAGCCTACCTTCTAGTGACTTGTGACATTATTTTATTTTTAACAGTCCCCTCCTTTGGGGGCTGGGGATTTAGCTCAGTGGCATAAGGACCTGCCTTGCAAGCAGGCGGTAAAACAGTCCCCTCCTTTTCTGTGTCCTGCCTAAAAGGCAACTCCTACAAAACTTTAAATAGTATTCTAGGTTTTCTTCTGCTTACCTCACTGCTTCGATCTCCATCTGATCTCTGATCCCAAATACATTCATTATAAGACCCAAAACATTTTTTGCATCAAGCTTCCCATCCTGCCCTGACCAGTGACCTCCTTTTTGGGTTTCTTTCTCAAGTATGTGAGTTGACCTTAGTCCCTATTCTGCCATATAATGGCTAATTGTTCCTGTCAGGGGATCTTTCAGGTAAACAGTGCTACTTTGAAAGGAACAGGTCTTCTCTCACATAATAAATAAGGAGAGCCTTTTGCTGGCCTAACAGTCTGCCTTTGATCTGAAGGCACATGGTCCTTGGTTAATTACTGTGTATACCTTGTATTGCTGGCACAGTGGTAAGGATTAGAGAATGTCTCTCCTGCAGAGTTATTATTTCCATTCATCAGCTGTCAAGGCAGGCAGTGCCTGACCTTTCTTAACATCTGGGCTTCAGATTCTAGTCTCTTCTGTGATGGAAAGGCATAGGGGTAACTGCTGTCTTTAGTGAGCAGTCATACTTGACGCTGAGGCACATGTGCACTTTGGCAGAGCAAAAGACATATGAATTATCATTTGTATCTTGAAGTGAATGTTAGGGTGCCCGTGTCGTTAAGTAAACAGACGCAAGGGAATCAGCTTACCTTTTCTGTGTGGGATAGTGATTCCATACTTAGCCAGTTCGGCTTGGACTGAGCTTTGTTATATGTTTACACTTGAGCACTCATTGCTTCTGTAAAATACATGTTCTTCTCTGTGTCTATAGGTAGACGGAGTGCACCACCCTTGAACCTTACTGGCCTCCCTGGCACGGAGAAACTGAATGAAAAAGAAAAGGAGGTAACAAAAAGAACTAGAGGAAGGAGGGTAGATTATTCATTATCTTTAAAAACTCATGACAGCATGACACCCATATTGCTGCACTCATCTAACATACATGCATATCTCTGGTCTGTCTGGAAGCCTAGGAGCTAAAGAACTAAGCTTGGTAGGCTTCAGAATGCTTCTCTTTATACCACTGTTCCTCTTTGGGGGGAAGCTAATGTGATAATGTCAAAAAATAGAAATATCATTTATTGAGCAGTTAACGTATCAGGCAATTATTACAGGCTTTATGTAGGTAAAATTTGACTTTTTTTTTTTTTTTTTTTTTTGGTACCAGGGATCAAGCTCATGACTTTGTGCTTGCAAGGCAGGCGCTTATGCTGCTGAGCTAAATCCCCAGCCCCAAAATTAATGTTTTTGTAAACCTAAAATAACTTTCTGTGAAAAGTTATTTTAACAAGTATTTTAATAAGTATTTCCTGTTAGAATGGTTATTTTGAGAAGTTCTGCCCATATTTCAGCAATACAAGGCTGAGGCAGGAGGAATATGAGTTGAAAACAGTCTGGGCTATGTAGTGACACCCTGTCTCAAAAAAAGCCAAACACAAAGCAATATATTCATTATTAAAACATTTTTGGGATTGTTTCCATAGTTTTTAACATAAAGGAAAGAATTCAGAGTTGGCCATTTGGTACATGCTTGTGATTCCAGCACTCTTGGGAGGCTGAGGCAGAAAGATAGCAGGTCACAGCTCAGCCTGGGCAACTTAGTAAGACCTTATCTCAAAAAATAAAAAATGTCCCAAAGATGTAAAAATCCCCAGTATTTCCTCTCTCTTACACTCACACAAAGGAATTCAGAACCTGGCACAGTATATGCCTGTAACCCTACCTACCCTAAAGACTGAGGAAGGGGGACTGTACCTTTGAGGTCAGCCTCAGCTTTTTTTTTTTTTTTTTTTTTAAATTGAGTTTGGCTGTGTAGTTCAGTCTGGCCTTAAACTTTAATATGTCACACAGGCTGTCCTTAAACTCATACCAGTCCTCCTGCCTCCATCTGCTAAATGCTGGAATTACACACTTGCACTTCCATGCCTGAGAAATTCAGCAACACTCTGAAAGCAAAATTTAAAAATAGGCTGGGGCTATAGCTCAGTGGTGTAATAGTTGCCTTGGATGTTTGAGGCCCTGGGTTTAGTTCCAGCTCTCTCCTGGGGTGGATTAAGCATGATAGACATCACACATTAATATTGATTTTGAAAATAGCATGATCTACTTGCCTCCTCCCTAATTATAATCATCAGATTTAACCTTCAGATTTATTTTTTGGCTATTTCTATAATTTTGTGTATTTGTTTGTTTTGAGACAAGGTCTTGCTGTGTAGTTTAGGTTCTCTTTGAATTCAATTTGTAGCCTAGGCTGATCTTGAATTTGGGAGTCCTCCTGTTTCAGTGTCCGAGATGCTGGGATTGCAGGTATATGCTGTTAGACTTGGCTGTTTCTAAAATGTAAATGTTAAATCTCATAAAAATCATCTTCGAATTTTCAGTTAGGTATGGCAACATAGGCCTGTGGTCCCATCACTCAGGAGGAGGCAGGAGGATTGCGAGTTTGGGGCCAATTTAGGCTATACAGTGAGACCTTGTTGCAAAAGAGAAAAAATGTTTTCAAAAGGATGGGCTCTAGCCTTGAAGTCCCTTTCATGCTCCTCATGTACCCCTTTTACAGTTCCTGGGATTTGTCCTCCACCTGCCACTCTATAGCATTAGCTCACATCAGATAGTACAGAAGAGTTGCAGTGTTGGGAGTGTATTAGTCTTATTTGATCCATCGGGAACAATGTTCAGGAGTGGAAGGAAGTGGGTGTTGTATATCCATATTGCTGAGGAAAGCCACAGGGCCAGTCTGATTTAAAGGTTCAGTGGTCGGGACCTGCAAGTATTTTTTATCCTTACTACACAATGATGACCTCAGAGTATTCATTGCTAGGTAATGGCAGGTGAACTGGAATTCAGCCAGCTTTAGATTTTTAGCAGTTAAAAAGTGGCTTCTTCTCAAAGTAGGAAACATAATCACGAAAACAGGTCGCACACCTTTATGGTCATACTAACAATAATGTGATTCACATTTGGGGATCTAGGTACCTGTGCCTTCTGGCCCACTGTGCCCTGTGGTCCTCTGCCCTAGCATTTAATGCTGCATACCTGGGTGAGCCAGGCTGCCTCTCAGGGATACATACTTATATTTCTAGTAAACTCAGGTCCTGCAGCATCCTGCGTGAGCTAACGACACTCCTGCTGTCACATGCTGGTTGCTGCTTCCTGGGTGTCTGTCCCTAGGGAGTGTTCTTTCCAGGGAAGAAGAGACTAATTGTTATACCTTGCTCTTGATTTTGCGATACCTGCTGGATTAAATTATGAGAATGACAGATGTTAATGTTCATTAAATTTGCCGTGTCTTGCAGCTCTGTCAGATGGTGCGGTTGGTCCCTGGAGCCTATTTAGAATACAAATCTGCTCTCCTGAATGAATGTAATAAACAAGGAGGCTTGAGACTGGCACAAGCAAGAGCGCTCATCAAGATAGATGTGAACAAAACCAGGAAAATCTATGATTTCCTCATCCGAGAAGGGTACATCACTAAAGCTTGAGGTTGTAAGGCCCTCGGATCCCAAGTCTGAACTTTGGAATGTGGATCAGAGCACAGTATACACTCTGGGGCGACTTCTCATTGAGCTGAACTCTCATTGTACAAAAAGGAGACAAATGAAGTCTTATGTTGTGTTACTCTACCCTGCTTTTAAAGCACTCCTGTTGTTGGTATTGTGCTGTGGAGTTGTGTGCTAGATAGGCTATTATTAAATGTGAGTGGGCATTCATTCCTAACACTTTCTGTAACTAAAACAAGAACCATAGTACCTCACATCAGTGTTGGTAGAAATAGAACCAAACCAACCACAGTGCTTAGTCTCAGGAGTCCAGCTCATCTGGTGCTTGAGAGCTAAGTTTGCTCATTATCTATTTTGCCTTCAGACATCACAGATTTAAAAAGAAGAGAAAGGTTTTAGAGCATCAGAAATCTTTCTTTCCTAGTTTTTTTTTAAAGCTGACAATTTTATATTTATGAACAAAGAAGAGGAAAATCTCTCCATGATGGTCTTGTCCCAAGCTGCGTTGTTAGTATCTGGCTTTATGTTATCAGTCTGGCTCTCTGATCTGTAGTAGACTATTGAGCTGGTAGTGCCGGATATAAAATGTTTCTGTTATTTTTAGAAATGGTGGATTAAAATGTTTTGCTGTTTAATTTGTGGATGTGTCAAATATTGTAAATAAATACTCTGAGGGTGTTGTTTGCTCGCCCCATTGTGCCGCACCATCTCTATTAATACGTGTGTCTTGGGATCACCCTGTTCTTACCCCAGGTTTCCCAGGACACCAGGCCCCTAAGGATGGAGATGATGCAATACTCTCAGCTTTGCTTGGATTGAGATCTGAACCCTAATTTCATAATGGAGAAAGGCTAGCTAGACTGTAATAAAAGCTGTTTCCAAAACAGAAGTAAAGCAGCTTCATATATTAAGCTCACTAGATGCGAGGGTGAGTAGCCACACCACATCGGAAACATGCCTCAACCCTTTCTGCAGGCTAAGAAGCCAAACTCATAGTCATGGTCATTTTATTCTGTTAGGAACAAAATTGTTAATAGAAATAACTTCACGAGAGCCAGGCATAGTGGCACATGCCTATAATCCCAGCAATGAGGAAGCTGAGGCAGGAGGATCACTGTAAGGCCAGCCAAGGCCACATAGTGAATTCAAGGGCAGCCTCAACTACATAGTGAGACCCTGTCTCAAAAAAAAATCAAACCAAAACAATTTACTTCAGAATCTGCACAGATCACCTCTCATAACTGACCAATTCCTTAATTCCTTTAGTGTTAAAACAGCTAATTAGTATGTCCTTCATTGGTAGCATCTGCTCAGGCTCCTGACTGATGTAAATATATGGCTGGTTGCTAGTAGATATCACTAGAGGATGAAAAGGACACTCAGGATCTGAGGGAATTCAAATAGAGAGCTTCCATTCTTAATGAGGCTGCTGGAAATGGTCTTCTTTCTTTGCATTGTAGTGTCTCAAGAAACACTGCTTTGCCATCTTCAATGCTTGGTTCTTATGAAGGATTTGCCTGTTAGCTGTGAGAAGGAATTCCTGTGCTAGGAATTTGGGATGCAGGCAGTGTCAGTATCAGGTGGTGATTGTTGTAGTTTGAAGTCTTTCTGTTGATTAAGGAGGGCTTCCTGGGAGAGGCAGGCTTTTGAGGCAGTAGGCTTGAGAGAGAAATGGCAGATTGAGGTGGGAGACTGTTCCAGACAGCGGGGTAGAGGACGATGTGGAGGCAGCAGTGGGAGTGAGAAAAACGGTGCCAAGAGATGCATTCGGCTAGAACACGGGCAGCTGTGGGAGCTGGGAGTGGGAGGGTAGCAGGACAGGCTCACAGAAGTCTCAGAACCAAGTGAATGCTGAAAGTCAGCTGGAGACCAACAGATTTGATTAGGTACTGTTGAAACTAATAACGGCCAGGAGTGTGGTGCACTCCTGTAATCCTAGTAGCCTGGAGGCTGAGGCAGGAGGATTGCTATGAGTACAAGGCCAACCTGAAATACAAAGGGAAACCCTGTCTGGGGGGAAAAAAAAAAAGACAAAAGGGTAAAGCTGTAATTATAAAGGCCAACTTTAAAAAGTAGGATCATTACTGCTTTGATAAACCCAACTTCGCAAAATTTAAGATGTAGTTTCTCTGAGTACTCTTGAAAGGACTCACTGAGTGCTTTTTGTGTTAACTGTAGAAAGCACTTACTGATACTTTTGTTGTGGCTGGCTTTAATACATTATTTCTTTCCATGTTCTTATCACCTAAACGGGGCACCTTTTTGTTTATTGTTTTGTTTTTTGAGACAGGGTCTCAACAGCGATCCTTCTGTCTCAGCTTTCTATGTTCTGGGATTGCAGATATGTGACACCATGCTTGGCAAGGCCATTTCTTGTACTGTATTGAAAGAAGCACTAGAAAGAGCCCTTCTTTCTAGGAACACTGGATCTTCTCCTTTGCTTCTAGATAGGGTTGTCTATAAATGAGTTACACTGTGATAGATGACTCCTAGTCTAGGTCAGCTCAGAAGAAGAAAAGTTTACCATGAAACTCAGCGATATGATTAAAAATCCTTTAGTGTTAGGAACTGCTTTAATTGCAATTTAACACTTAAAAGTTTCTGGTGGAGTTTTCTGCATACCTTTCTCTCCCAGTGGTGGGGAATAGAAACCGATCCCTTGCCATGTAATGACACTTTGCTCCAAGACCAAGGCTAGAGGAGGGATGTGTAGCACAGTAGAGCTCTTGGCTTGGTTGTGCATGGACCTGGGTTCAGTCCCCAGCACTAAAAGTCTCTCGACACCAAATAACTATTTGCAGGTTATCTTTTCCTGGGTTCCAGTGCCCATCTTTTCTTGGTTTGTTCCTTTTTACAGTCTGAACTCAGTTAAGCAGGCAGTCATTGAAATCTCCCATAGATAGCGGGTTAGTTAGAAAAGGGGGAAAACCTATGGCATTCATCATTGACGACAAAATCCCAGTTGGTGAGTCATCCTGACTTGAAGAGAGATGTAGACAGATAATAAGAGAAGTAAAATCACTGTGAAGCGTCAGACCCCAATCACACAGTGCAGCTTGGGAAACTCATTCGTATTTACCTGGAAATAAAAACTTTTCCACTCATTTCTAAGCAGGAGAGTGGTTTTGTGTTTTAAACAGCATTCAGGACCCTCACCCATCCATTTTTAAGAATGTCTTGCGGATGCTCTCCAGATACACACTGCCATTGTGGAGCACACAAAACTTCTGCAACCTGTGTGCACCTGGCTTTTTATTCGTTTTGAGTTTTACTGATCTGGAGTGGCCCTAGCCTTTTATATCCCTCCTGCTACAGTGGGACACAGCTACACAGTTCTTGTGTAAAGAACTGAACCAGAAGCCGGGCGTGGTGGCTCACACCTGTAATTCCAGCACTCGGGAGGCTGAGGCAGGAGGATCGTTGCGAGTTCGAGACCAGCCTGGGCTACAAGGTGAGCTCAAGGCCAGCCTGAACTGCATAGCGAGACCCTGTCTCAAAAAGACAAAAAAAAAAAAAAAAAAAAAAAAAAAAGAACCAGCTAAGATCAAAGGCTTCTCTATAGGACAGAATAAACAGTCCTGGGTAAAGTTGAACAGAATCTCAGCTCAGACAGAGTCAGAGCAGCCTGGACAGTCATGCTGAAAAAGGACCTAAGAGTGAGCAATAGTGAAGAGCATTCATGTGAGAAGTTTTGGATTGTATGTACCTGTCCTGGAAATGTGTGTCAGAACTGAAGGGATAGCATTCTGCTGTCTCTGAGGAGGGCAGCAGTGAACAGTGTACAAGAGGCTGGGAGCCAGTGTCCATCTCTAATGACAGGGAGTTCTGTTCCTTGTTTGCCTGCCCTGCTGACTTCCAGAAGTTGGGGTTACTGCAATGAAAGGGTATCAGCTACCTTTGATTTGATTGATCAAGCTTTCATATCAGAACCACAGACATTTGAGGCAAAAAGTTTGAGAGTTTTGCATCTGACATTAAGGTTCCTTTGTCATCTGACAAAGGTGGCACATTCCTGTAATCCTAGCATGCGGGAGGTTGAGGCAGGAGGATCACTGCCAGTTTAAGACCAGCCTGAACTGTATAGAGATTTTGTTTCAAAAAGTGAAAACAAAAAGTCCCTTTGTCACAGTGAGTTACTTTGGTTTGTATGGTGTTCTGGGTTCCCTTCTGTGATAAGACCGGAAATAAATTAGATGTAAGAATTCAGTGAGTAGTGCCAAGTGTGATGGCACATGCCTGTAGGCCCAGCATTTTGAGAGGTCAAGGCAGTAGGATCAAGAGCTCAAGGCCAACCTGGACTATGTAGAGAGATCCTATCTCAAAAAAACCAAAGTACAGTGACTAAAAGGCTTAAAACGCAAAACAGCAAGGTGTGCCAACACCTGTGATTCCAGCACTCGGGAGACTGAGGTGGGAGGGTCACCATAAGACAGGCTACTGGAGCCTACATAGTGGTTTCAGGAGAGCCTGAAGTACATAGCAAGACTGTCTCAAAAACCAAGAAAAAAAACCTGTTTAGCTGAGCGCGGTTGTGAATAAATCCCAACACTTAGGATGCTGAGGCAGGAAAATTGCTGTGAGCTCAGGGTCAGCCTGGGCTATGTAGTAAGATCCTGTCTCAAAAAGAAATGAAAAGAAAAATATTCCATTTAACCCGTGTAGACCTCCGGAAGTCACTGTATTTGTCCTTGTCTTTGGAACCACTATGGTTAAACCTTGGTGTTCCTGACCTGTTCTGTCTTTTGGGGCTGGATAATTGAGTCTGACTCATTTAACATTCTACTTTGGAGCAGAGGGGATGGATTATTGTGACACCAGACTAATCACTGAATTAATTTTAACATTCTTAACCAAGAGTCCCTGTTCTTATCTTATACAGGTGGTCTTGTGGTTAAAACAAAAGCTTCTAGATGGCTAAAAATCCTGCCTTGGTTCAGTTATGTTCAGCAGAAAATCAGCGTCTGAGGAAATGTGGGAAATGACTTCCTAGTTCTTTTTAAGAAACCAACATTCTCGGGCTGGGGGTTTAGCTCAGCGGCGTAAGTAAGCACCTGCCTTGCAAGCAGGCAGTCGTGAGTTCGATCCCTGGTACCGATAAAAAGGAAAAAGACAAAAAAAAAAAAAAAAAAAAAAAAAAAAAAAAGAAGAAGAAGAAACCAACATTCTCTTAACGCAAAAACTCTGAAATGCTGTCATATTACCTTATTCAGCAACTGAGAGCTAAATTTCAGTTCATGACACTTCCAATGCATCTCTCTCCCATTTTAAAAATTATGTACTCTCATTTTAAAAATGGTTTGCAGTGACCGTAGCCTCTTATCTTCCTCATCAAACAGTAGAAACTATTAACTTGGGGTCCCCCTCCCATTATCACTTTTAATTTAGGAAATTCCTTTAAAACATACGACTATATTTGAAGAGAGAAGTCATGGATCCTGGGCTGTGAAACTTCATTTCTCACGTGTGTAGTCAGTGTCCCCTGCAAGAAAACCGATTTCGCTGGCCCAGATCTGGTTTTTTGTGGTATTGGCAATCATACTTCCACTGAACTATATCCCCAGCTCATTCATTCATTCATTCATTCATTCATTCGATCATTCATTCTGTTAGAGACTGTCCCTGAGTTACCCAGTCTATCCTCAAACTTTCAATTCTTTCTCCTCAACCTCTTGCCTAACTGGGATTATAGTGTGCATCACCGGCTACCTGCTAGGAGCCTCTTTGTAACCCTTGGCAAGCTGTGGCAGATAAAGTGGGGGCAGGGCCCTCATTCATGTATGCTCCAACCAGAGACAGCTACCAGTAATGTCTGCCTCACCTGGCTTTCTACTGTAACAAAGTCTTTGCTGTGTTCTGGGTATGCATAGCTTCAAATTCAGGACACCTGTCAGCAAAGTCAGGGATAGGATTTAACTTCATGATGCAAAGCAGAAATTCTTTTGAGTGCAGTCTCCCAGGAGTGCCTCCACCCTCAGCAACTGCGGGAAAGGCGTTTGTGGGAGAAGAGGGTGGCTGCAGACGTCACTGCATCATCCAGATCCCAGCTGCGACCTGGCTCAGAGCTTTCCTGTTAAAAATAACTGTGGCTTTAGACTGGGGCGGGGAGTAAACTGCTCATCTCCATGGAAACGGAGCCGAGGGGAAAGGCTGGCCTAGGATCTCCAGCACACGTGGCAAGATGGAATGATGCTTGTAGGGGCCAGAAGCTTGCAGGCCATCAGATAAAAGGTGATAGCCCTAATTAGCATGCAGGATGTAGCCAAACACTGCCCTAGGGCTCTGGGGACACTTTGCAAGGAGGATGTTTACAAGCAAGACCTTGAGTCTGGTGAAGAATTATTTGAAGCTTCTGATTTCCTGTGACAGATTTGCTACTATCTGGCAAAGTAGAGAACATGGGAGCCAGCACAATGAGGTGTGGTCCTACCTGGGAACCTCTGCAGCCCTTCCATTTACAGTCCACATTCATTTGCATATTCACTAGACTAAATGACACAGGATACATTTTATAACCCACAGGGAAGTCTTCAAGCTTTGGGACTGTTGTGCATATTCACTGCCACTTAGTGGGACCAGTGTAGGAAATTATGTAAAGCAGTATTAATTACCTTGAGTGTCTATGTAAAAGCATGTCTTTTAACCCTTAGTAATATTTTTAGTTTTTGTTTTTTTTTTTGAGACAAGGTCTTGCTATGCAGTGGCCTTGAAGGCTGGCCTTGAAGTCACATCATAACTCAGGGTGGCATTGAACTCACCGTGATCCTCCTGCCTCAGCCTTACAAGTGCTGGGATTACAGATATGCACCACCAAGACCTCTCATTTTTCTTATTGTTAACCGCCATAAATAGCTAACTTTTGGGGGAAAATACTTTTATTTCTTCACTCTTCATTTTTCCTTTAAAAAGATTTTAAAAATCACTTTTTTCCTTCAGGAATATAGGAATACATTCTAAAAACCCTATTTTTTTTTAAATATCCAGGACCTTTGCACTAAGGCCTTATAAAATTTATGTATTATTATTTTTAAGACAGGGTCTTGCTAAGTTGCCAGTTTGCCCAGGCTGGACTTAAAAGTTATGATCCTCCTGTCTCAGCCTCCCAAATTACTGGCATCACTGGTGTGTACCACCACACCTGGCTTCTAACACTTTCATTTTAAATGAATGCAAATAACTGAAAATGAAGTAAAAATTTCTTTTTACATCATAACTATGGATAAATTTCTTTACCTGCCTGGTATATGGGAAGAATCTGAACACTAATCCTTGCTCTTCTATTTAATAATAATGCAACTTCGTACATTGTTAAGTTTGTTAACCCTTCATGTATTGTGTGACTGATACTGCCCATCTGTCGGACTTGAAGATTCTATGTGGGGTAGGATGATAAACATACCTGATGTCCCTCTCCCTTTTTTCTTCCCCTTGAGCATTTGAGTGTGTTAATTCCAATAAGCCAAGAAGCAGCACATGATTTGCTTGTACCACACAGTTCACATCATGCTAAAGTTAAAACAGACACAAAGATCTGAAAGGCTTAAATGTTAAAACACACAGGTATGCATTCTGCCAGCATTTTTTTTTTTAAATCTTGGAGTTTTCTTCACTGCATTGCCGTACCCATTGAATTAAAGACAATTCCAGAGACAGATTTTTTTTTTTTTTTTTTTGTCTTTTTGAGACAGGGTCTCACTATGCAGTTCAAACTGGCCTTGAGCTCACTTTGTAGCCCAGGCTGGTCTCAAACTTGCAACGATCCTCCTGCTTCAGCCTCCTGAGTGCTGGGACTACAGGCATGAGCCACCACACCCGGCTCAGAGAAGATTTTAAATTACCTGGTTACTCTGGACATGTTATGTTCCCTTCCATAATGCCTTGCTCAAGAAACTTGTTGGGTTACAAAAGTATTTGTACACTGTGAATATAGTTGTGTAAAGGAAAAAAGCCTTGCATAGAAAAATATCTAGTCCAGATGTTAATCATTGTTTTACTAACTGTAATAAAATAATTGTGGATAATAGTTTTGCTCTTGTATTTTTTCTTATGTAATGTGACTTTATTACTAGAAAAATTAATTTTATGAGGACTATAAAAAACAAAAATAGAGGGGCTGGGGATTTAGCTCAGCGGCATAAGCACCTGCCTTACAAGCAGGCGGTCGTGAGTTCAATCCCTGGTACCGATAAAAATGAAAAAGACCAAAGGGGGGAAAAAAATAGAAGACCAAATGATTTGATATGTAACAAAATCTAGTTGATCCATATGATTCCCTTAGGTGCTGTCTCACATTTTATAAAATAACACAAGCTGTAGGCCAATTTCTGTAATAGACGAAATGTTTTGAGACTTATGCTGATTATCTTTTTTGCACTTGGAGACTTTGATCACTGTCCTTCAAATCTGCCAAAGGAGCATAGAAATGTACTTCTTACAGGGGATTTTTATCTTTAGTCAGTGGCCTAGAATCTGTAATTACAGGTGCTACAGAGCAAGCAGGCTTTGAGACCTGAGGTACAGGATGTAGTGGCCCTCTGAAGTCAAACTTCTGTACACTGAGGAGCCCTGATGATTGCTGTTCCCCAATTCTGCCAGAGATCAGAGTTGTTACAGTTTGTTAACCACAGGTGAAGATATGACTAGGCCATGCAAATATTCTTTCAGAAGGACCCAAAGAAGTCTTTGGCAATGTTTTTGGGAAGGAAGACATCAGAAGCCAATAAGCAGCTTCTGATACAGAAGTTTCCACCCTCTGCACACTAACACAGTCAGTTCTCATTCTTTGTTGATGCTGTGCTGTCAGTTCTAGCTAGGAGAACTCCAATGCTCCCCGGTCATAGGAATTGTACTTTTGTGGCCCCTAAAAGAGTTGATGCCTATAAACTCAATGTAGTCTATAAAGTGCTGTTCAGTATGGTAGCCACTAATTACATGTGACTGTGGTTAAAAATGTAAAATTAATTTTTCCAGGTTTTTGAGACAGGGTCTGTCTTGGTAGTCCAGGTTGGCCTCAAACTTTCATTGATCTTCCTGCCTGTCCCCTCTGAGTGCTGGGATTACAGGTACGCACCACTATACCTGGTTAAAATTAAATTTTTAGTAAAAATTAAATTGCCTAGTCACATGAGCTACATTTCAAGTACTCAGTAGCCACCTGAGGCTAGCGAGGCTACTGTACCGGACAGTGAAGGTACAGAACATGTCGGTCATCAGCCAAAGTTCTTTTGGATGAGGCTACTCTGGAAAGATAACACTGTACTTTCAGATTTCATGTTTCATAAAGGCAAACTCACGCTTCCTCATTCTACAAAAGGATAAACACCTCCCTCCCCACGGGCATTAGACGCAGTCACAGCTGGTATGCCTGACTTCAGCACATCTACTTACCTTCCTTAATCTCTAGATCTCTAGGTACACATCATCCTCAACATGAGTCTCTTCTCTCGCCCACCTCCCTTCTCTTCACTGATTAGGGTCTAATTATTCGTGGGTTCCAAAGTCCATAAAGATGCTCAGCTCTTCATCACTGCCTGGGACTTGTTCTGGAAACCTGTTTCTGTGTAACAAAGTGGAATCTGAAGAAGGGGGATTTTTTTTTTTTTTTTTTTTTTTTTTGTCTTTTTCATCGGTACCAGGGTTCGAACTCACAACTGCCTGCTTGTAAGGCAGGTGCTTATGCCACTGAGCTAAATCCCCAGCCCCTAGAAGGAGGGATCTATATGTGTTGCTGAGTCACTGAATTGACTCAAAGAAGGAATGCAGGGGGAGAAGCAGAAATAAAAGCAGCATACCATAATTTCTATTATTTTGCTATTTTCGTATTTGCATGTCAAAAATAAGCCATAACGCATTGCTGAAACAAGTTAGTGCAGGGAAGATACCTTTCCCTGGTAGGATTTGAACTCCTGTGTTCTACCCTGAATGGCTATCTGCTTTATTCTTTCATACAAAATTTGCCTAATTTTAAAGGTTTGATTTTTTAAAAAAAATTTTTTTAATGGAAGCAAAAATGAATCTCTCCAGTTTTGACCGGTTTAGTTCTCCGAGGATTATCACTAAAATGCCTTTGATGTTTTATTTTTGTCTGGGAAGCAGACAAAACTTCTAGATATTCCAGCACCCACAGGATGACTCTGAATCCAGCTGACCAATGGCAAAGATGAGCATAAAAAGCCTCAAAGCTTCCCTTGAAGACGTGGGAAGATGTAAACCCAAGGCGCAGTGTATCCGCCCCCGGCCCCTCCCCCCAAATCTATGACTACTCGTTTGACTGTTCAGCAGTTCTGATGCCAACGCTTTGCAATTGCAACAGTGAGGAGCTGTCTTGTGAGTCCAGGACTCGGCATGGAGTCAGGACTCGCGTGTCTGACTCACTGCAGAGCCTTGAGAATGTGGTGTCCACCTTTCCTGCGTCGCCGGCACCCCTCACCTGCCCGAGGGGTTCGGGCTGATTTGAGCTGAAAAAAAGTCCATTTCGCATCTACTCCTGTTGCAGATGGATAGACTTAAATAAACAAGACCCCCATGCCCACCCAGTGGCAGCGAGTAAATCCCCAGCGAGCCCTCGCGTACAGCCTGGGGTCAAGAGACCTCACCTCGCTACCGGGAGCGCGGTCGGGCACGCGTGAGGTGGTGGCGGTGGTTTGAAGGTCCTAGAGCAGGCAAAAGATGGTTCTTATCTTTACACCTCTTTTTGAGTCTCGGACGATGTTGCTTTCCAATTACTAGAAAGTACCCACACCTGTCCAAGCAAAATTCACCCAGCGGTTACCCCAGACTCATTTCCCTCCGTGCTAGGCCCCAGTGCGGGGATCCCCGCGCCGGACCCGGTGGGGGCGGGGTGATTAGTTACAGCTGCGGCGCTCGCACCTTTCAGATCAGTGTTGTTTTCTCGTCCTCTCGCATCCAGAAAGTACCCTCACGCAGCACCCCTGCACCCGCGCCTCAAACTCTGCTCCTTGGGGAGACGCTCAACTGGAAAACGGGTCTAAGTGTGTGAGACAGCTGAGGAGACCACACGGGGACCCCAGAACAGAAAGACGCCCAGAGCACAGCCGCGGTCACCGGAGCCCAGGGCGCGCCTGGCCGCGCCGCCCTGCGTGGAGACTCAGCGCGCACGCGCAACGCCGGCCTCCCCGCGCGTCCCTCCCGCCCCCTCCCGCCCAGACCCCGCGCCCCCGCCGTGGCGCCCCCCCTCGGGAGAGGGCGGCGGGGCGCAGGGAGCGTGCGCGCGGCCCGCCCCGGGCGCGGGCGGAGAGGAGCGGGCAGGAGAGGGAGGGGCGCGCGGCGCCAGCCCGCAGAAGCCGGGAGCCGCGCCTGAGGACGGAACCCCATCGCGAGCCTCGCGCGCCGGTACGGGGCCCGCAGGCCTGGGGGTGCGGGGGGCAGGGGCTTCGCGCCATCGGGCCTCGGCGTGGCCGGGACACGCACGACCCTCGGCTCTGGAAACTTTGCGTCGGCGACCCCACCTGCTCCTGAGCGGTCCTGCTTCCTCGGGCGGCAGGGATCGGAGAGGCCAGGACCGTAGGCGCGCACCCTTGTCGCTCCCTCGACCTGGCTTGCGGCATCCTGCCCCACACCCACCCCACCCCTGCTCCTCGCGACCCTGCGGTGTCCCGCTCCGCCGAGGCCAGGGGCCGCTGCATCCACCCGCGCAGAGCCCAGCGCGGCTCTGTGCATCTTGCAAAGGTCTCTGGTGCATTGGTAGAAACAACTGGACTTTCAGCGATGCCAAGTGTTCAACTTGAGTGTTTCCCAGCGACGGTAGATGGTGTGCACAATGCTAAGATACCTCTGTTTATTCCTCCACCCCAGCACTTTTGCTCAGAGCGAAGTTTCTCTGTCTCCTGTGTCTCTGTCTCTGTCTCTCTCCGTCTCAGTGTCGATGGTCGTGGGGAGTTGCCTGAAGAGGATTGTATAACTATTTAGGTGGATGTTGCCAGTGGTGCCAGCTACTGTTATGGTAACTGGGCATCCCGGAGGCAAAGGAAGAAAAGCTTTACACATGCAGTTTTACGGTGTAGGGATTATTTTTTGGGTGTTGGGATAAAAAAAAACAAAACAAAATCACCTTGTACTTTCCACCCAGCGGGACCTTAAGGCATTTGGCATGTGTCGACTCGTTAGCTGTTCATTATAGTTTATAAGAGGTAGGTGGAGAGCATTACTCTACCGTTTTACAGATGTAAAAACGGAGGCAAGTGAACTGGACCTTAAGGAATATGGTTCTAGAGTTTTAAGCAGTTTCTTGGACTTCGTCCTCTTAATCAGACACTTGGAGGTGCAGTAAAATGGGATGTTGGGGTGGCCTCCCTGAGGTTGTCCAGATCGGTTAAGTCAGAGGCCAGGACCAGCGGTCAGTAGCTCCATGCCTGCCACTCAGCTCTGCCCCAGAGTGACGTGACACTGAGCGAGTGATAACTTCTTGCTAGTTTTCCACTCCTTAAAAATGAAAAGAACAAAGGTGCTGTATTCTTTGCAAAGTTGCGCTCTGGAAGCTCCACTGCCTGGAGCTGCAAGGTAGTTATTATTGTGGCCTCATAAAGGCCCTCCCGGGTCTCGGTTCCCTTGAGAAATGCAGAGAGTGCGGCGCCCCCAGAGTGAATAACCAACCGCCTCCTCTTCCACATGGACACTGAGAGCATTGCTACCGCGGCCCCAGTGAGGACTGAGAGCTCCCCGGAGGAGGGAAGAAGGAGCCCTGCACAGGCGGGCGGCTTGACACAGGGCTCCATTCCTGCCTCCAGCTCTGACTCACCTTCTGACGCTTGGGGGAGGAGAGATAGCTGCTTGGTATTTTTGGCTTTCCCCATAAAACAGGAGACAGTTTCCTTCATTCCGAGTCTTCCAGGCGACAGTGTGGAACGTGTGTGTGCCGAGTGCTTACCCGAAACCTTTCAGACTGTTCGACTGCAGGTATGAATTCTGTGATGTTCTTTAATAGAATGGCATAAGTATTCATATAAAAATTGGCCGGGTGTGTAAATCCTTTCAGACTTTAGCATAAAAACTAGCATTTGGGGGAAAAAATGAGCTTCAGGGAGGGAACTATTGGGCATACTGCTTTGCGGTTGGGATTTTGCCTTAAGACTGTGGATTAAAGGATGAGTTTTCCTAATATTACAAGGAATATTTAATCATTTTCTGTGTTAAAAAAACCTTTTCAAATAAGGGTTAAAGGTTTCTGTTGACCATCTTAAGCATAACTGCTGTGTGTATCTTCCATTAGTTTGTATCTTTCTAAACTTGTCTCAGTTTTTATGTCTATTTGCACAGTGATTTTTTTTAACTGAAATGACTTATTTTAATGATGACTGATCCTGTTAATAGAGATTTGATTTCTGTCCAAAACAGGTAGCATGTTTTTAAGTACAACCGGTTGTAAAGTTTTATTAATCCTGGTGCCATGGTGCTGTTTCTCAGGGCAACAGGCAAATGGCCCCTTTGTAAATAATCTCAAAATAATTGAATCATTTTGATCCTCAGCTTTACTCTCAGGTACAAGTGAAAACTTTTCCATTAAAAAAATGTAGGACAAGTGTATTCATCTTTTCTTTGCTTATAAAGAGGTATGAAAGGGAGTAGAAGGCAGGCAGAGTTGCTAAAGCAACAGCAGCCGGGTATAAACTTACAGAGCTAACATTTACGGTAGTAGCTTTATTATTTATGAAAGCTGCATGGGGTGAAGGCGAAGACAGGAAAAGAAGGTGTTAATGGAGGCACAGTTTAAGTCAGTAATTTCAGGAAATGGGTGACTTAAAATTTATGCCGGCAGTTTTGGATTTATATGGTGAACGTTTATTGAGGGCTTTTCCCATGCTGGGCACTGTATTGAATACTAGGATAAGAAGGCAAATAAGGTCCCTGACCTTACAAACCTGGCAGGTTAATACTAATGACATTCAAAGAGGAAATACTGTATTTTTCCCTTAGAGTGACCAGAATTGTTATAATAATTCTGAATTCTTGGAAATCAACATAGTGTTTATCTAACCTTTTTAAAAATGTGAATGACACCATGAAAAAGAAGATAGGAAACAAATGGATAAACTGATGAATTATTTAAAAAAATGTAAGTGCAACCAATTTTACAGGTCAAGAAGTCTCCTTCCTGGGCTGGGCATTTAGCTCAGCGGCATAAGCGCCTGCCTGGCAAGCGTGAGGTCTCCAGTACTACCTCCCCCACAAAAACAGTGTCCTCCCCTGTCCTTTTCCAAAGACAGCGGGTAACCTGACCAGTAACTACCCTGACTTTTGTGGAAAAATTTACTTCTATGCTTTTTACCCCCTAAATATTAATCTCTAAATGACATAGTTATTTTTGCTTGTTTTTCACCTGTATGCAGTCAAATCAAGTTTTGGGGTCATCTTTCGTTCAGTCAGCATCAAGTATATTCACAGTATTCCGTGTGAAGTGTGTAATTGTTTAAATTCCTGCAACGTGCTGATTTTAAAGACTCACCTCTGTTGCCACCTGGGATTAGAGTTGGTTCATTTTTGTGTGAACATACCACAGATTACGCATCCGGTATGAGTGGACACCTGGGTTGTGCCTACCCTGGGACAATTAAGGACAATCCTGGGTTGGGTTGGGTGTGCATATCTTCAGCCTTACTACTTGATGCTTTTCTTCCCAAAGCGGCCGCCAATTTACATTCCTTTGGTGGTGTCTGCCTTGAATTCATAATTCACTGTACCTGCAGTTAAACCATAATATGTTTGGATATTTTTTAAGTGAGTAAATGAGTGTAGGTGTCATCTATCTCTGTCTTATCACATGACATAAATACATCAGTATATTTGTATTTTGTTCCATGGTTTGGACTAGCTACCACCCAAATACTAGAAGGGGGTTTTCCACTGTGTTTGGTTAATGTGCCCGTTAGAACCCTCCCATTTATTTTGAAAAAGTAGATGAACAATTACAGAGAATTTGAATATGCAAAATAAAGTACTAAAAATTAGCAACATCTAGGGCCTAGAAGACTTTCTAAGGTCCTCAGTGAACCCTGCCCGTTGTGAGTGCTGGCCTCCTGGAGGGCAGTGGGTGTGTGGGGACCTCAGGCTACTGCTTGTTGAAGTCCTTGGAGGGTGGGACTCACACTTGCCTGTATGCACATGGTCCCAAAGAGAGCAGGACACAGATGCAGTCCCTCCCTCAGTGACGCTTGGGAGGGAGAGGAGCCACAGCTTCTATGCTGTCAAACAGATGCCGCTTTTATAGTCTTCCCTGTGTTTGTCTTTACATGTTCCTGGTTTGTGAATGTAGAAGTAACTTAGGACTGTGTTTGATACAGAGAAGTCCTGCTTTTTTTTTTGCTCTTCATGTGTGCGGGCTTGTGCATGCGCATGCATGTCGTTGGGGAATGAACTCATTCTTAGGGGTGTTAGGCAAGTTCGTACCCCTGAGCTTTGGTCCCAGCTAAAGAATCCCTGCGTTCTGAATGCACACTTGAGTTGTCAAGTTAACTTTGATTGCCCCTGGGTGGTTTTGCTAGTTAGATCTGGGTAGTGGATGTGTGTGTGAGAGAGGACAGAGAGACACAAGTAGGTCATCTCAGGACAGTTACTAAATTCAGGGGTTTGTTAGTTGCTATTATGTGCTGAGTACTATATGCTAACCACCGCGCAGCAGACTGTTACATAATCCTGTAGATTTATAAATACTCTGGGGGACATACCTTTTCTTAGTTAGAAGGATGGTGGAAGAAGAGCAGGTGGGATTTGCAGTTTCTTTTAATTTCTTCTATAAGGTGTCTTGGAAAATGGCTAAATTCCTCTATCTCAGTCACAAATACCATTTTCTTGCTTATTACGTATTTTTTCAGATTCTCATAAATTTTTTAATCATAATTTTTAAAACCGTACTAAATTAGAAGAAAAGATGCCAGTCGGGTTAGGATTAAAAAGTATTGTCATCACCTTTTAATCTAAGTCACCGGGTGAGGGGGTGTCGTGTCCCAGTGCCTCCAGGAGTGCTGAGGTCACCACCGTAACCTGTCACATGGGTTCCACCCAGCTCACCTCCACCTTCCGGTTCTTGTTCTTGCCTGACGGAGAGCAGCCCCCTCTTGAAGTCTCAGTGGACAAAAGGGCTTTTTGATATTCACAGGCAACTGCTAGGCTGACATGTACCTTTGTTCCAAGCAGTTTTGGCATTGATGACGTGTGGCAGATTTTTGTCTTTTTTTTTCCTGACTGCTTTGGTCTTCAAATTTGTGGGTACATGTGGGGGAAAAAATTTAAAAGCATTCCACACGATGTATGGCAGAGAGAAAATGGAAAGCCCCAAACTTCACCTGGGAGAGGGACCCTAAACTGAACGTGGTGGACGTTTTGAGGATACACAGGTGAAAATAAAACCAGAGATGGGGCTGAGGGTTTAGCTCACTGGTGTAGCACCTGCCTGGCAATCTCAAGGCCCTGAATTCAGTTTTGGGTACCAAAAACAAAACAAGAAAAACGCCACAACTGTTCGCTGGGGATGTGGCTCAGCAATAGATCTCTTATTTGCATGCAGAAGGCTCTATGTTCGATCTTTAGCACCACCAAAAAAGAAAAAAAAAAGAATACTGTTGGCATACAAGTTAAATGAAAACTTAAAGTCAGGGTTTTTTTTTTTTTTTTGTCTTTTTTTTTTTTTTTTTGGTACCGGGGATTGAACTCACAACCTCACGCTTGCCAGGCAGGCACTTATGCCTGGCTGAGTTAAATCCCTAGCTCTTTTTTTTTTTTTTTTTTTGTCTTTTTAAGAAAAAGTCTCACTGTGCAGTTCAGGCTGGCCTTGAGCTCACTTCATAGCCCAGGCTGGTCTCAACTCATCATGATCCTCCTGCCTCCCAAGTCCTGGGATTTCAGGTGTGCGCCACCATGGCCAGCTACATCAGGATTTTTAACTCAGTTTTGCTTATGTACCCATGATGCCATGCTGATACCTTTGCCAAGTTCTCACCAAATTGACTTCTTATTTCAGCTTTCATATAAACAGCCCTGCCAGGCAGAGGCTAGAGCCTGTGGGGCTCTGGACTGACAGCCATTTGTACCAGTTGTTTTCCTCTATTAAAAATCATTTTTAGTTTTAGAACTTGAAATAATAAAATTAGAGAAAAGCAGCCAATACCTTTACTTACTGCTCAAAATTGTTGTTTATAATTACTTTGGGCCTCTTATTTAAAAAAAAAGATTAAAAAGCGAGGGCTGTAGCTCAGTGGTAGAGTGCTTGCCTGGCATGTGTGAGGCTCTGGGTTCAGTTCCCAACAGTGAAAAAACATTAAGCATTAAGAAATTAATATTTTATAAGGTCACCTTCTTTTTCACTGAGAAAACCACCCCCATGAAGTTGTTGAGTTTCCTTCCAACACACTTACTACTGTATTTAAATATCCATCTATTTATCTTTTAGTTATTTTGCGTGGGATGAATCCAGGGTGAGGTAGGCACTTTACCCACTGAGCCACATCCTAAACCCTAATTTTATTTTGAGACAGGATGTCACTAAGTTGCCGACACTGTCCTCAGACTTGGATCTTTGTGCTTCAGCCTCCCAAGTAGCTGGATGCCACCAGATCCAGCCAAAAGATGGTGTGTGTGTTTGTTTTTTGTTGAAACAAGGTCTCTCTGTGTCGTCTAAACCAGCCTCAAATTCGATCCTCCTGCCTCAGCCTCTTGAGTGGTGGGATTACAGGCATGAGTCACCATGCCCAACCGAAGAATGCATTTTTAATGAATATCAAAAAGATACAGAAATTTCAACTAGTCTTCATTTAGCACTGAGCCCAAAACTGCTTCCAGTTTAAAAGTTGTATATCAGGGCCTGGGGATATGGCACAGCACCTACCTGGGGGAAAAAAAAAAGATTGTATATCATTTCATGTTTCTTGTTTCTCAGAGTTGGAGAAATAGTTTTGTAGCGTGTC